GTTGTTTGTCGCTGCTGCAGAGCACGTCACCTCAGCACGTCATCTGCACGGCCAGGGAGAGCTCGGTGCTGTTGCTCGGTTGACGAGGTAGAAAGAGAATTTTCACACGGTTCGCAAGGAGTATGGGATCTACTGGTTCCAGAGAAACTCACCATGGCGATAGCAGTTGGTTCGGCGTTGGTTGCTCTGTTCTATATCACTTGCCTGTGGATGTGTAGAGGCGACCAAGGAGTTATTAAATAATTACACAAAACACCCTGTCGTTTGCGGGTCTGAATGTTAACGGCTTGGGGGATTTCGCGAAGCGGAATCGTACAACGGCATGGATTAATAGCAGAAAAGGAGCAGATGTAATGGTTTTGTCGGATACCCGAATAGCAGATGATCACACTTACTGACCTTCTCTTAACCTCACCTCTCTCGCCGTTGCCTCGTCTGTGACACGAGCTGGTGGTGTTGCAGTTCTGAGCCGGCGAACAGATCTCTTTTTTCACAACCCTTTAGCCCACCCTTCGGGAAGACTTGTTAAGGTGGAAGTCCACTGTTTGAACCTTCGCCTTACTTTAATAGCCACTTATCTCCCTGCAGACAAAGCCGAAAAGAGAGCCTTCATAAGATTAGTGCTTGGTCCGGTTATCAACCGCATTCAGCCATGCACTCACCTGCTCATCCTAGGAGATCTAAATACCATTGAAAATCCATTGCTCGACAAGACCTCTCGACATGGATCAACTGTCAGTAGATCTGCACTGTGGATGCCCGATTGATCCTGGAGAGGGTTACAGGCGCGTTCGCCTGGGGGGTTATGGGCGCACTGACCCGCTACTGAAACAAGCCCTTTTATCCCAATGGTCTAGTGGTTGGGATTTTGACATGGTATCAGAGCGGTCTCGGGTTCGAATCCCGGTGTATGCACATGTAGGCCGGTGCCGCTGTGCTTAGTCCTGGGCCTCCCAGTATGAGGGGGGTGTCAGTAGATCTGCACTGTGGATGCCCGATTGATTCTGTAGAGGGTTACAGGCGCGTTCGTCTGGGGGGTTATGGGCGCAATGACCCGCTACTGAAACAAGCCCTTTTATCCCAATGGTCTAGTGGTTGGGATTCTGACATCAACAAGAGAGAATGACTTCCTCTATCATCACTGCACAAATTTCGCTATCTCAGATGCTTTCCGCTTCCTTCACCCGAGCGATCGTGAATTTACCTTTTATTCGCAGGCGCATCAGGAGAACGCACGGATAGATTGGGCTCTGGTTTCTCAATCCCTGCTCCCGTGCCTGGTGTCGGTTGAGCATGTTTCACCGGATGAGCAAGTCTCCGACCATGGTTTTGCCATCCGAGTAATCTTCAAGCTGAAGTCGCAGTTGAAGCTGGGACCAAGTGTTTGGCGTCTTAACCCTTCCCTGTTGGGAAGACCGGGGGCTAAAAGGAAAATAGAGGAGGTGGAGCGGTTGGTCACGCAGAATAGAGGGGGTTTTGCATCTCTCATCTCTCGCCTGAGCACTAGTCTGCGATCATATGCAAAAGAGGAAAGTAAGAGAATAAGGGCGACCATCAACCATCTCACTACAACAGTGGTTGTATTGCGTCAGGAGGTCATACAGAACCCCAAGGACCAAGTTATGAAAGAACGGCTGGGGAGACGGGAGCAACACCTTAAGGAATATTTCGCATGTCGGCAAGAAAGGATGCATACAATGGCTGTGATGGAGCTAGCGTTGTCAAGGGAAGTTCCCTCGCCATATCTGTCAGCACGCATAAAGACGCGGAGGTAGCGGTACCAGGAGGGGTGGTGACGGAACCAAAGGGAATTCTGGAAGCAGCTGCAGGGTACTTCCGTAGCCTCTTTGGGGAGGATAAACAGACGTTGTCTTCAAACTGGAATCCACCGGCTGAGAAGAAGCTGTTGTATTCAGATGTGGAGAGTCTACAAGCGGATTGGTCAGAAAAGGAAGTTAGGCAAGTGTTGAAGGAAATGGCGAGTAATAAGACGCCGGGGAAAGATGGCTTACCGAAGGAGGTGTTCGAGTTGCACTGGGACACGCTAGGGAAACATGTCATGGGGTTGGCTCAAGGCTTTGCTCTCACCTCTACACTCTCGACCAGCGTGAAGGATGCGGTGACGATACTCGTGCACAAGAAAGGAGCGAAGGATCAGTTGGACAACTATCATCCTATCACACTCCTGAACATCAGCTACAAGGTGTTGGCGCGAGTCTTGGCGAGCAGAATAAAAAAAAATCTTCACAGGGTGATCTCACCGGAGCAGTTCGGCTTTATTCCGGGGCGACGAATGTCAGATGCAGTGGGGCTGGTCGCTGATATCATCGATGCGGCCAAGAATGGGAGAGAAGACTGGTATATGCTGCTGGTTGATTTTAAGAAGGCGTTCGACTTGGTGTCCCGTGACTTCATTTTTGACGTGATGGGGAAATAGGGATTCCCGGCTCGGTTCATTGGTTGGGTGAGGGGCTTGCACACAAACACGCGGACGAACTTGTTAATCAACGGCTGGATGGGAGATGCAGTGGAGGTGGTTTTAGGAGTGAGACAAGATTGCCCCTTAGCACCCTACCTCTTCCTTTGTGCGGTGGAGCCTCTGGCGCAGAAGGTGATAAAGCAGAAGATTGGAATCTTGCTCACCAGCTGCGTCAGAGGCTGGGCTATATTGGCTACGCAGATGACACGACCCTCCTGCTGGAAGGAAAACAACAAGTTGGGAAGGCGGAGGAGGTGTTAGAGGAGTTTAAAAATATCTCGGGATTAGAGACAAACAAGGGGAAATCAGTGGTGATGCCTTTGGGAGCCAACCTGGGGAAGAAGACTTGGCGTACTGACGGGTTCCGTTGGGCTGACGCTAACAAAGCTGAGAGACTCCTCGGGGTGTGGGTCACGCCGAACGGAAGCTGTCAGCCGACGTGGGATAAGGCGCTGCAGAAAATTGCTGGGAAGATGTCGCTGTGGCAGCCGCAATTCCTCCAAATTAAGGCCCGAACAGCGGTGATGGACGGGTACATACTGCGGATTGCGTGGTCCCAGGCTCAGGTTTAACCGCCGCCTGCGCAAACCTGGAGAGAGATCATGAAAATGGCGCAAAACTTCATGTCAGCGAACAAGGTCTCGTATGAGAAATGCTTCAATCTCTGGAGCAAGGAACTCTTGTTCACACCGGTACTAGAAGGTGGAGTGGGGGCAAAGAATCCAGAAGCGATGCTTACCTGCTTGACGGCCAGGAGGATTGGGCTGATACTCACAGAGACAGATCAATTAAAGCGAGAACTGATGCGTCAGGCGGCTGACCTGCCAAGGGGACTGGAAACATTCATGGCACATGAGAAGCTGTTGAAGACATGGGAGGGGAAAAGCCAGCGCTGGAAGCTAGCATGCGCAAATTTCATGCGGTCCCCACTGGCGGTAACCACGGAGGAGCGAGAGGTTAAGGAGCTGTTGCTGGAGAGGATCACGTTTAACAGACATATTCTCCTGAAAGGGACCACGCCAGTAGGAGGGCAGAAAGCGGCGAAAGGGCTTCTGAGCGTCAGACTTGGAGATCTTGTCGGGAGAGATGCAGAAGGGAAAGGGGTGCTGAAGAGCCTTGAAACCCTAGAGAGAGAGCTGCGGGGGAAGGACTCGGCAAACCTTGCGCTCAAGGCTTTTGCGGCTGCGCCATAATCGTGGAAGAATCGGCTCATCTCGGCTGATCTTCCGAACATGAGCTTTGCGGACGAGTATGAGGTGGGAAGAGGCGGCCCTCTACAGCTCCGGATGAAGTTGTTGGCGGATGGGACAATGGTTCCGTTGCGGTCGCTCCGGAAACACTGGAAGCACGGCAGCGGCGGAAAGAACAAGCGGGAGAAATGGGCGAGTCGGTGGGGCGGCATCATTGATTGGGAAAGGGCAGTCCGGATTCGTGAATCGCTGGTCACCCCAAGTCGACCAAGGGATGTTTTGCTGCGAATACACTGCCTCAATCTGCAAGTGGGGGAGAGACTGGAATTTCTCAGCAGCAAACCAGTATGCCCGCATTGCGGGGGGTTTGAGACACTGGAGCACTGTCTCGTGGAGTGCCCGAAAATTCAGGGGGTGGTTTCGGCGGTCAAAAAAGCATTACGGATGATCAACCCGGGCAGGAAAAGCGACACACTTGGCGAGTGGCTGTTTGGCAAGGAGGGGTCCCAGTCAGCATTTCCTGAGGCCTCATTGGTTGCGATTGCCCTGCATCAGTTATGGGCGGAAAGATGCGAAGGAGCCTTCAGGGGCTGCAAATTCCGCACGCGGAGAGTCCTACGGAGGATTGAGTCTGCCCTTCGCATGCATGTTAATGTTTACGTGCGAGCCTCGGCAGTAAGGATGCAGCAGCGTGGGAAAGTTCAGCAGGCCAGGTGGCAGAGAATGACGGGGCAAGAACGTGACCTTCCGAATCGCATCAGAGTAACGGATGGCAAAGGTTGGAAGTGGTCCAACAGTTTCGCGGCAATTTGGGGCAAACCTCGCAGGCCCCGGATCCATGTCTGAGGATCGAATTCTCTGAGGCGGGACTTCCTGTCTCTCATGCACAGTTACGACTGTTTATGTGTTGTACACTTACGTTCTGGTGTATAATTCATATAAGCAAAAAAAAAAAAAAAATGAACGGGAGGATTCTATACAGAGATTCACGGCTGTCCACTACAAGTAGACACATTGCATTTATACAAGGCATTTTCCAACCCTACGATAATAGGCCATTGGAGCGTTGGTACTGTGCTGTGCAAAAAAAAATGCAGCAAGAGCATTGCACAGATGTCAATGCAGCAAGTGCTTCACAAGAGTGACGCCAAGGATGTCAGCACGTATCTCAGACAAAAACAGAAAGTAACTTTTGAGTCCATCGACTCCAAGATCACCGTATAGCAGATGCCAAGGCATATATATTTAGGTTTCACCGCAGGTGTCACTGCAGTCTGCAGGTGTCAGTGAATATGTCACTGCAAGTGTCACTGCAGGTATCACTGCAGGTGTCACTGCAGCGAGAGCTTGGCGAGTGTAAGAGCAAGCACACGCACACCGTTGGCGAGGTTGGCCTTGGACGTGAACTCGTCCGGGCGGTGACTCACTCCTGAGAGAAGGGAGTGGAAGGGGTAAGAAAGGAAGAGAGCGATTGGTGAGGGCGAGCACACGCACACCGTTGGCCGGGTTGGCCTTTGATGTGAATGCATCTGGCCGGTGGTGAGACGAATTTTGAGACGAATTTTTCTGTCGACTCAAAAATAGAAAATCGGAGTGAATGCATCCGGCCTGTGGCTGACACCTGAGGGAAGCAGGGAGAGGCAGAAAGCAACGAAAGGAGGGAAAACAGATGGGAAAGAAGCAGGAAGCACTTGTTATTATTGTCATTACTATTACAACTAGTTTTTTTTTAATATGTTTTTCACTGTTATCAATATGAAAAGGCAATTATTGCTATTTTTGAACACGGAGTGCGGGAGCGAATAAAGATCAATGAGTTAGGAACAAGACACGACCAGCTCACCTCCTCGGCACGGAATGAAGATCATGCCCGTTGGAGCTAGTCTGTGGTTAGGATGCAAGGACAGAGGGGGCAGGGGGAAGGGAGGAGAAGGAAGGAGAGAGAGGTGCATGAGCAGCGGAATCCCTTAGTTAAAAAAGACAAATTCATCTCTTCGGCACGGGATGAAGACCATGCCTGTTGACGCCACGCTGTGGCTAGGATGAATGGAACGAGGGGGCATCGGGAAGGGAGGGGAAGGAAGGAGAGAGTGGTGGATGAGCAGCGGAATCCCTCCGTTCATATAGACCTGCTCACCTCCTCGGCACGGAATGAAGACCACGCCTGTTGGCGCCACGCTGTGGTTAGGATGGATAGAAAGTGGAGGGAGAGGGGTGGGAAGGGCCGGAAGATTGGAGATATCTGGTGAGAAAGGAGAGAAAATGATGCATGGGATAGTGGGACAGTAGCCCATAACTGATAATTGGTGAACAGTAGCACTTGAACAGTATTCCATGAGCATTGGCTGATGCTAGCAATATGTGAACAGTAACACACATCGCCATGAACCGTATTTAACACTGCCATAAACAGCATCCATACCACATGAACAGTGTGCATGAGCAGTAACGCACCTCGCCATGAACAGTGCATCGTGATACGCCCGGCTGACCATTCGCTGGTGGCTCAGCCCCAGCTCCTGCACTGCAGACAAAACTGCTGACGTCACCATGCTGCTGCACTGGGCGGGCGGGTCGGCATTGACCAGCTCCATTCTGGCCGGCCGGGGGTGGTCAGAAATGAGAAGAGTGAGACGTGAGAGAAAGAGGGAGACTGGAGAGAAAGGGGGAGATGTGAAAAACGGGAAGGTGAGGGGGGAGGGAGGAACGATGGGAGAGCTCGCGCCTGGGTCGTGTTTCGAGTCGACTCACGCCTGGCAGCCGCCACGACTCCCTTACACGACGGGAGAGCTCACGCCTGGCAGCGGCCTTTTGAGTCGACTGAAAGCACGACTCAAAAGTAACGACGGGAGAGCTCACGCCTGAGTCGTGTTTTGAGTCGACTTAAAACACGACTCAAAAGTAACGACAGGAGAGCTCACGCCTGCAAGCGCCCATGACTTCTGCAACTATACCTTTCCTCCCTTGCACCACCATACTTCTACCATAAAACAGTCACTCCCTTCCCTCCCTTCCCTCACCTCTCCACCTTCACTCTCCGCCTTCCAGCAATGCTTCTGGCAACAGCCATGACTTTTGAAACCATGATTTTCCTCCATTGCACCACCATACCCCTCCCATAAAACAGTCACTCCCTACTCTCCTTCCCTCACCTCTCCACCTTCACTTTCCGTCTGGCGGCAATGCTCCTGACGGCCGCCATGACTTTTGACACCACGCCATCCCGCCTCGCCTCGTCAATATCCCTTATGTCTGCAGCAGACGCAGCAGCAGCAGCGGTGGCGGCAGCAGCAAGAGATGGGGCACACGGGGGGAGGGGCGTGGTGGTGCTAAGGAGGGCTTGACTGACTGCCAACACCACGCCATCCCGCCTCCTCTCGTCGAATGACTCGAATATCTGCGGCAGCAGCAGCGGTGGCGGCAGGAGCGACAGCAAGAGATGGGGCACGAAGGTCGGGTGTGGCGGGTGGTAACAGGGGTTTTACTGACTGCCAACACCACGCCATCCAGCCTCCTCTCGTTGAATGACTCGAATATCTGCGGCAGCAGCAGCGGTGGCGGCAGGAGCGACAGCAAGAGACGGGGCACGAAGGTCGGGTGTGGCGGGTGGTAACAGGGGTTTTACTGACTGCCAACACCACGCCATCCCGCCTCCTCTCGTCGAATGACTCGAATATCTGCGGCAGCAGCAGCGGTGACGGCAGGAGCGAGAGCAAGAGATGGGGCACGAAGGTCGGGTGTGGCGGGTGGTAACAGGGGTTTTACTGACTGCCAACACCACGCCATCCCGCCTCCTCTCGTCGAATGACTCGAATATCTGCGGCAGCAGCAGCGGTGGCGGCAGGAGCGACAGCAAGAGATGGGGCACGAAGGTCGGGTGTGGCGGGTGGTAACAGGGGTTTTACTGACTGCCAACACCACGCCATCCCGCCTCCTCTCGTCGAATGTCTTGAATCTGCGGCAGCAGCAGCGGTGGTGGCAGCAGCAGCAGCAAGAGATGGGGCACGAAGGTGGGGTATGGCGGGTGGTAACAGGGGTTTTACTGACTGCCAACACCACGCCATCCCGCCTCCTCTCGTCGAATGTCTCGAACGTCTGCAAGGCACTGGCGGCAGCAGTGGCAGGAGCGAAGCAATGTTGCAGGGTGATACAGATAGCAAACAATTACCAAACAAGGGTGGATCCCAAACAATTACCCACGTGTCCAGGGGTGATACAGTTAGTGTTTTTGAGACGTCTCAAAAACACTCTCATTTCAAGTTGACTTTTGAGTCGGCTCCAAAGTCAACTCATTTTGAGTCGACTCAAAAGTCGACCCAAAAAACACTCTCATTTCACGTGTCCAGAGTGATACAGATAGCATATGGCCGTATCCGTATGCTCTAGAAAAAGCTTCTTTTGAATACGTTAGACAGCAAGTAGTATTACGTCTCTATCTGCACAAATCTCACCAACCTACACGCACTAACTTCCAACCATACAATCCTGTAAAAAACCGCGAAATTCCTTTCCTCCACCCACTATCCCTTTCAACAGCTCGATATCGTTTTCAACGACTCGCCATCCCTTTCAACCACTCGCCATCCTTTCCCTCCACTCACCAATCTCCAAGTGTGCATGGCGAGGCACGCTGTTCACTGCGTTCGGCTGAAGCATGAGATGCCCTGAGAAGGGGTGGTGGTTTTGTGAAACGGAGTGGCACGGAGCAGAGGTGACTTTTGAGTCGACTCAGAAGGGTTGGTGGTTTTGTGAAACGGAGTGGCACGGAGCAGAGGTGACTTTTGAGTCGACTCAGAAGGGGTGGTGGTTTTGTGAAACGGAGTGGCACGGAGCAGAGGTGACTTCTGAGTCGACTCAGAAGGGGTGGTGGTTTTGTGAAACGGAGTGGCACGGAGCAGAGGTGACTTTTGAGTCGACTCAGAAGGGGTGGTGGTTTTGTGAAACGGAGTGGCACGGAGCAGAGGTGACTTTTGAGTCGACTCAGAAGGGGTGGTGGTTTTGTGAAACGGAGTGGCACGGAGCAGAGGTGACTTCTGAGTCGACTCAGAAGGGGTGGTGGTTTTGTGAAACGGAGTGGCACGGAGCAGAGGTGACTTCTGAGTCGACTCAGAAGGGGTGGTGGTTTTGTGAAACGGAGTGGCACGGAGCAGAGGTGACTTCTGAGTCGACTCAGAAGGGGTGGTGGTTTTGTGAAACGGAGTGGCACGGAGCAGAGGTGACTTCTGAGTCGACTCAGAAGGGGTGGTGGTTTTGTGAAACGGAGTGGCACGGAGCAGAGGTGACTTCTGAGTCGACTCAGAAGGGGTGGTGGTTTTGTGAAACGGAGTGGCACGGAGCAGAGGTGACTTCTGAGTCGACTCAGAAGGGGTGGTGGTTTTGTGAAACGGAGTGGCACGGAGCAGAGGTGACTTTTGAGTCGACTCAGAAGGGGTGGTGGTTTTGTGAAACGGAGCGGCATGGAGCAGAAGGAAGAGAAGGTGAATGGATTGGTATTGGAAAGAATTCTAAAAAAACACCAGCGACATCAATGGGGGAGCATGTTTTGGTTGCTTCAGAGGGCAAGCAGTGATCCAGAACACGGCCTCTGTATTGGAGTGACTTTTGAGAATTCTCAAAAGTCACTCCAATATGGCAAGCAGTGATCCAGAACACGGCCTCTGTAATTTCTTTTGAGGCGCCTCAAAAGCATTTCTTTTGAGGGGCCTCAAATTCCAACAAGAACGGCCTCTGTGATTTCTTTTGAGGCGCCTCAAAAGCATTTCTTTTGAGGCGCCTCAAATTCCAACAGGAACGGCCTCTGTGATTTCAGTGGGGCATCAAAGACCAGATGGCAATCAGCTCATCCATTTGGCGCCTCTATGAACATTCTCTCCACATATAATCCGCGTTTGATGAGTCGACTCAAAAATCGGCAAGCAGTGATCACGGCCTCTGATTTCAGTGGGGCATCAAAGACCAGATGGCACTCAACTCATTCATTTGGCGCCTCTACGGCCTCACTGTACCAGTGAGAGTTTTTTGAGAATTCTCAAAAGAACACTCACTATACCACGCTCGTTTTGCGAAATTTCAAAACAAACATGCAAGAAAACAAAAACACACATTCATAGCATGCCATGCCTCTACGGAATCACCATACCTTTGGTCCCCACTGTTTTGAGAAACTTCACTGCTTCTCAAATCACTACTTCGATCACGTAACAAGCATGCAAAACTTCACACTCATTCATAGCATGCCTCTATGGAATCTGTTAAAAGGAATGGAGTGTTGGCCCCGCCCTCGCTTGGGCAACGCCGACAACTTGGTCGGATGTACGGGAGTAGCAGCCGACCGCTCACAGTGGGATAGCTGCTCGACAGGTTACGTCGAGATGCAGCGGACCGCTGTGGTGTTGCTGTCGACCAGGATGCTCGACAGCTGCACCTGACTGGTCTGGGCAACGAGTGAGCCGTCCGGGAGATCGACGAAGCAGTCCGTCGATCTACAGTTCGACGGGGAGGTCTATGGAGCATCCTGTCGAACTGCAGCTCGACCGGGAGGTCAACGGAGCAGCCCGTCGAACTGCAGTTCGACCGGGAGGTCGACGGAGCAGTTCTGGTCGACGGAAGGGGTCCGTCGACCAAGGGGTAGCTCGACGGGAGGTGTGGTCGACTAGGAGCGCCCGGTGGTCGACCAGAAGGACCCAGTGGTCGACGGGAGGCACCTGGGAGTTGACCAGAGCACCAGGGGTCGACCAGGTCGACCGGGTAACCTGCCCGACGAGTTCTGCGGAGGCACGCGAACGTCGTCGAGATCGCGATGGTGCAAGCGACTTCGGACTGGTATCCCGAAGTCGATGTGGCTCGTCAGGCGCAGACAACAGCCGACGGATGCCCAATGAGGCAAGTCGGGCCAATCGTCTGCGCGCATCTGCGATCGTGCGCACAGCTGTGTTCTACGGGGCAACGCTGGACAGCCGCTTTGCTGCAATGTTGGCACGCCGTCGACCTGCTCTGTTGGCAGGTCGTCTTTCCGCAGTGCTGGCGCAGCTCCTCTACGCAACGCTGGCAGGCGGTCGACCGAGCTGTGCTGGCGGTCGACCAGGCTAGCAGCAGGGTTGCTAGGTGCCTGATGTAGTCATTGTTGTAATTTTGCTTATGCAATCATTCTGGAATTCCAACTTTGCTAGTGGAAACTCTTGCCAAAATTCTTCCGTGAATGTGCAAACACTAAGTAACCAAGCAAAGCTAAGATCACCTCTAGTAGTTCGTGCCAACCCATGTAGTCTAGCTCACTACCGTTGTAGAGTTTATCTCCGCAGAATCACCATACCTTTGGTCCCCACTGTTTTGAGAAACTTCACTGCTTCTCAAAACACTACTTCGATCACGTAACAAGCATGCAAAAACTTCACACTCATTCATAGCATGCCTTTACGGAATCACCATACCTTTGGTCCCCACTGTTTTGAGAAACTTCAGTGCTTCTCAAATCACTACTTCGATCACGTAACAAGCATGCAAAAACTTCACACTCATTCATAGCATGCCTCTACGGAATCACCATACCTTTGGTCTCCACTGTTTTGAGAAACTTCACTACTTCTCAAATCACTACTTCGATCACGTAACAAGCATGCAAAAACTTCACACTCATTCATAGCATGCCTCTACGGAATCACCATACCTTTGGTCTCCACTGTTTTGAGAAACTTCACTACTTCTCAAATTACTACTTCGATCACGTAACAAGCATGCAAAAACTTCACACTCATTCATAGCATGCCTTTACGGAATCACCATACCTTTGGTCCCCACCGTTTTGAGAAACTTCACTGCTTCTCAAAACACTACTTCGATCACGTAACAAGCATGCAAAAACTTCACACTCATTCATAGCATGCCTCTACGGAATCACCATACCTTTGGTCTCCACTGTTTTGAGAAACTTCACTACTTCTCAAATCACTACTTCGATCACGTAACAAGCATGCAAAAACTTCACACTCATTCATAGCATGCCTCTACGGAATCACCATACCTTTGGTCCCCACTGTTTTGAGAAACTTCACTGCTTCTCAAATCACTACTTTGATCACGTAACAAGCATGCAAAAACTTCACACTCATTCATAGCACGCCTCTACGGAATCACCATACCTGTGGTCCCCACTGTATCGTCTGCCCTGGTCGCCAGCACAGCTGCCTCAACAGCCAATGAGAGCTCAGCAGCTGCCAGCCCTGCATCATTCCTGAGATAGCAAGCGTCAGCAAGCAAAGGCAGGGGTGGGGAGGATTGAGGGTGGTGATTAGTGGGGGGAAGGGGGATTAAGGGGAGGGGAGGAGAAGGGGAGTTCTCATCGGCTGCCAAGCATGCATCTTCTGCTTTTGAGACAACTCAAAATCAGCTGCCAATCCTGCATTGTTCCTGGAATAGCAAGTGAGAGCAGGGGAGGGTGTGCAGAGGGGGAGGGAAGAGCTCAGCAGCTGCCAACCCTGCATCGTTCCTGGGATAGCAAGTGATGGACCAAGGGGGGCAGTTGGCAAAGGGAAAGGGGATGTGGAGAATGAAGGAGGGGAGTGTGGAAAGGGAGGGAAGAGCTCAGCAGCTGCCAACCCTGCATCTTTCCTGGGATAGCAAGTGAGAGACTCTGCAGCAGCTGCCAACCTAAACACACCTCAACACCTCAACATGCCGCAGCACGCCTCAGCACACCTCAGCACACCTCAGCACACTTGTGCTTCATGAGCAGGGCGCCGGCGTGACCCCCTCCTCCATTGAAAGTCAGCATGAACACCTCGAATCCAACTATCTGAACGCACCTCAGCACACCTCAACACACCTCAACACACCTCAACACACCTCAGCACACCTCAGCACACCTCAGCACACCTCAGCACACCTCAGCACGCCTCACCTATGCTTCATGAGCAGTGCGCCGGCATGCCCCCCTCCTCCACTGAAATCGACCATCAGTGTTGCTGGCGCCGCTATTGCTGTCACTATGCCTATGTCCAGCCCTGAACGCATGAGTCACGAGCACATGAATGAATGTATTGTCATGTAGATACGTAAAGGCGTGTGGACATGCAGTAACCATCAGCGTTGCTGGCGCCGCTATTGCTGTCACTATGCCAATGTCAAGCCCTGCCTGCATGAAAAACGAATGTAGTGGTGTGTATGGGTAATCGAATATATATGATTGACTCCCAGCGTTGCTGGCGCCGCTATTGCTGTCACTATGCCAATGTCCAGCCCTACACGCATGCATGAGTCACGAGCACATGAATGAATGTATTGTCATGTAGATACGTAAAGGCGTGTGGACATGCAGTAACCATCAGCGTTGCTGGCGCTGCTATTGCTGTCACTATGCCAATGTCCAGCCCCTGCATGCATGATTCACGAGTACATGTAAGAATGTATGTGATGCATATCAATGTAATGTATGTAATGTACATGTATGTGATGTACATGAACGGAATATACACGCGTACGATCTACACATGTATGTGCGATACACAAAACGCATGTAAAGATGCAAATACATCAATCCATAATGTCTCTGGCACTGCCACCGCTGTCCATATTGTCCATGCGTAAACACATCCATAATGTGTGTGTCCTGTCCATGCATATCCCTTACCTACAAACACACAACCAAGGATGTGTTTACGCATGGACAATATATGTACCTGTATACATGAATATAATATCAAAGTACGTTTACACTACATATGAAATACCTTGGTCTTCCAATAGCGGCCCTTGTTCGATGTGCAGCTCCACAAAAGCGCCCACTTGTTCCCGACCCAAAGCCACAGCTGCCACCGAACCTGCGTTCCGAGCCTCTCCGTAACCAGCTTCAGCGGCAGCCTCGGCGAATGGCCGGCCGTCTTTGTCCTGGAGCGCCAGCAGGCGATCGAGATAGCCAGTTTGATTGGCCAACATGCGACTGGGTGGGATGAACAGTAAAACATTGTTTGGGTGGGGAGGGGGGGGTTCGGGGGGAGGAAGGGGTGGGGAGGAGGTGGGGAGGGGGTGGGGAAGAGGTGGGGAGGGGGTGGGGAGGAGGTAGGGAGGGGGTGGGGAGGAGGTGGGGAGGGGGTGGGGAGGAGGTGGGGAGGGGGTGGGGAGGAGGTGGGGAGGGGGTGGGGAGGAGGTGGGGAGGGGGTGGGGAGGAGGTGGGGAGGGGGTGGGAAGGGCATGGGTGGGAAGAACAGTGAAACAGCGAAAGAGGGTGTGGGTGGGGAGTAAAGGGGGAAGTAAGTAAGTTGTATTCTGTAAGGCCTCGTTGAAATGGACAGTGAACAAGGTTTGGGTGGAGGGCAAGGGGGGGAGTGGGATGACTTTTGAGAATTCTCAAAAGGATGAACAACAGCATGTGGTCGTGGGAAGGGCATGGGGAGTGGGTGGGGAGGGGGTGGGGAAGGGGTGGTTTTTGAGAATTCTCAGCTACGTTGATGGTACTTTTGAGAATTCTCAAAAACCAAGGAGTGGGTGGGGAGGGGGGGGGGGGTGGTAAATGGACGGCATGAACAGTGAATCGCATTTGGGTTGGGGAGGAAGGGGGGAGGGGAGTGAGTTCAGTCTCCACCTTGCCCCAACCCCCTTACCACACTACACCCCACCTACCCTTGCAAGCAACCAGGACAAACCCCTCCTTCCCCACAAACGCACAAACCCCTCCTATCCCCCTCCCCTTTCCCTCATCCCACTCCCTCCCCAACACCCACCTGCCCAGGCAGCCGATCCCGAAGCGGGTGGGTTCTTCAGAGGTGAACATGAGCACTTCGATCGGGCGATGGGGGGAGAACCCGGCCCTGCAGAGAATGGGGATAGGGAAAGGGGGGTGTGGCACGGGGGGTAGGAGAATGGAGGTGGGGAAGGGGGTGTGGGGAAACAAGCAAAGTGGGCTCTTCAGAAGTGAACATGAGCACTTCGATGGGGCGATGGGGGGAGAACCCGGCCTTGCACAAGGGGGCGGGAGCAGCGGAAGAGGGGTATGGGCGCGGATGTGGAAAGAAGCTCCCTTGTTTCTACCCTTGTGGAACGAAGTGAACATGAGCAATTTAATTGGTCAATGGGGGGGAAACGCTGCCCTAGAAAGACGAGGGTGGGGAGAATAGGAATGAAAGAGGGGAGGGAGGCGGCATATCCACCACCCCATCGTTTTTTACAGCCATGGAAGGCGAGGGGAAGGAGGAGAGAGCAGAGCAAAGCAAGCAAGACCCACCGTTTCAGCGCTTGCACTGCTGCGATCCCACCCACCCAGCACCCCCATCACACCATCGTACTTCCCAGCTCAGGGAGGGCGAGAGGATGGAAAAGAGAGAGAGGGAAAAGGGGAAGCAATACAAAGGACCGTTTGAGAAAAGGGGAAGCATTTGCTTTTGAGTCGACTCAAAAGCAGACTCAATACAAAGGACCGTTTGAGAAAAGGTGAAGCATTTGCTTTTGAGTCGACTCAAAAGCAGACTCAATACAAAGGACCGTTTGAGAAAAGGTGAAGCATTTGCTTTTGAGTCGACTCAAAAGCAGACTCAATACAAAGGACCGTTTGAGAAAAGGTGAAGCATTTGCTTTTGAGTCGACTCAAAAGCAGACTCAATACAAAGGACCGTTTGAGAAAAGGGGAAGCATTTGCTTTTGAGTCGACTCAAAAGCAGACTCAATACAAAGGACCGTTTGAGAAAAGGGGAAGCATTTGCTTTTGAGTCGACTCAAAAGCAGACTCAATACAAAGGACCGTTTGAGAAAAGGTGAAGCATTTGCTTTTGAGTCGACTCAAAAGCAAACTCAATACAAAGGACCGTTTGAGAAAAGGTGAAGCATTTGCTTTTGAGTCGACTCAAAAGCAGACTCAATACAAAGGACCGTTTGAGAAAAGGTGAAGCAAGACCCACCGCTTCAACGCCTGCACTGCTGCGATCCCTCCCAGCACCCCCACAACGCCGTCGTACTTCCCGGCCAATGGGATCGCATCCGTGTGCGACCCTGTGACGACAGCTGGCAACGATTCATTGGACCCCTCCCTGTGTGTGCGAAGGTTGGGGTGGGGAGGCGGAAGGGGGGAGAGGAGGAGGAGGAAGTGTTGTGAAATAAAAGGAGGATTAAGGAGGATTGCATCAACCTTCTGAAGACACAAAGACCACTGAAGACCTGCAGACGGAATAAAAGTAGAGTTTTGAAACGTCTCAAAACTCCAAGAAAAGGAGGATTGCATCAACCTTCTGAAGACACAACGACGGAACCTGCAACATAAGACCCTGCTTGTAAAAGTGGGTCATGTTTTGAGTCGACTCAAAACACGACTCATTACACGCGGACCTGCTTGTAAAAGTGGGTCATGCATTTTTCAGCAGGAACTTTCCACACTTACGTTTTTCAGCGGGGCCGTGCTGTTCTGAATGCATCGACGACAGAGTGGCCAGCTTGCCACTCTGGGACAGATTGAGATTGAGAAGGTCACGTGGAAACCTGGCAGCTTGCAGAGTGCCAGATTGCAGATTCTACACTGCATTCACCTGTTGAGATTGAGTCGACTCAAAAGTATACATCGACCTGTGTCGATTCAATAGTCATGACGCTACATTAACCTGTCGTTCTGTATACATCGACCTGCCAACCTGCAATCTGCCATAGGAGCGAATGACACAAGAGAAGGCATCCTCCTTCTGCCAAAGCCTCACCATCTGCCAAAGATGTTGCCGATAGCATCCTCTCTTATACCCAGCCCCGCTTCCCTCATAAGCGTCTTCACGTAACTGTACAACACAAAGATATACACAGAGAAACGCACACATTTATCCACATATATAGAGACACACATAGACATGTACCAAGTAAGCTGCTAGAAAGGTTGGAGCAGCAACGAAGGTCAGACAGTGTAGCAATACACATCGGGGAAGGAATTCGAAAAAGAAGCGATCCTTGAGTGCTCAGTGCACGCAAAACTCGACTCAAACATTACTCAGTGCACTCACTCTCTTGCCCTCACGTCGTTCTCCGTGAACAGGACACGAGTGACAGCTGGCGGCTCGTCATTGGAGAAGGTGGCGACGTGGTCGATCTGAGGCGGGAGGGAGGGTGGGTACGATCAGGTGGGATGGAAGAATGAGACGAATGTGGAAGGACCTATGAGGACTTTTGAGGCGGCTCAACAGCGGGTGCGATCAGGTGGGGAGGATGGTTGAGATGAATAGAGGAGGGAAACGAGAGGTGTTTGTGGGACGAATGGAAGGAGGGATAGTGGGGAAAGGGGATGACGGAGAGGGGGGGAAGAAAGGGGGGGGGGGCGAGGGAGGGGAGGGGAGGGGGAGAAAGGGGTGAAGGGAGGTGGGTGAAAGGGGGAGGGAATTCTAAACGCCAGCGTACCTTATTCTGAAGCAGGGGGCTGGGGGGAGAGGGGGGGGGCTGGGGGGGGGGGGGGGGGTGGGGGATGGGGGCGGTGAGGGAGGGGAGGGGATCCCAAACCCCAAGTACCTGCTCTTGAAACAAGGAACCTGGGGGGACAGTAGGGGGAGGGAGGTGAGGGAGGGGAGGGGATTCGAAAGATCAGCCTACCTGATCCTGAAGCCGGTCCACGTCAACAACAACCTCACTCGCACCAATCCCAGGCCCCGCTCCCGCCACGTGTCGGAATTCCGGGTCCACCTGAACCGACTCAATTCTTGGGTCCCTTTGAGTCAGATGAAAAGCAGATTTCCAGTTTCCCAGCTTGAAATTTCCCACTCCGTCAGAAAATACCCCCCCCGCTGCTGCCGCGGCAATCGCGGAAATTACAACTGCAAGGATCGCGGCCGCTACAGCCGTTCCTGCTGCTGCAGACGGCCTAGCGGACTTGGAGCTCGAGTCATCCGTAGCACCTGAGTGAGCTTTTGCAACGACGGGACGGTCAGTAGCTGCGACTCTTTCCGAGCTCCCGGAAAATGAACGATCAGTGCGTGAAGTGGTAGCCATGGAAACTCGCAGGGCAGAAGCGTTTCGCGCAGGCGACGGGAGAATTTAGCAAGTGCAAGTCAGAATTACCAGTGTTACGGTTCTACGAACGAGGCGCGTCTGGCACAGCTTCATTCCAAACACAACCTGAAGTTTGACACAACGCAGAAACTTGCCCAGAAGTTGTTCGCTTCGTTATGGAGTCCGCATTTCAAGTACCCGGAATTTTCAACCTTGCTATCAATTTCTTGAAGGCCGTATATCATTTCATCTGAAGTAGCTCATATTCCATTTGAGGCGCATATACTGCACAAATCTAATAATTCAACAAGCTGGAATGGGAATGCACAGATGATTGGAGAACATTTCATAGTTGTATAAATTGCCAATGGTTTCCAATAACCCGTCGCCTTGTGTATTGTCACCCCTAATCGAAACTTTGTTAGGGGGGAAAGAAGCTGTGCCACGTGGATGCAGCGCTGACCTTGAGAGTGCCGCAAAAACGTGGACCACGAGAATTCGGAAAGATTGCGGCTGGCAGGGGTGTCCCTTGAGAAACTGGATTTCCCGAACACCATACCCAACCAGTTCAGACTCTTTGAGAACCGTTTAAAAACACATAGAAACCCACTGAACCGCAACAGTGTTTGCTGCAAACACTCCCTTATCCAACATTCGACCAGCAACAACCACGTTTCCTCATAGAACTAATGCAACAGAACTTCTCACTGACCAAACCGCTGAGATAAACTCCCAAGTAAACAAGTAAACTCCCTTCTCAGCTTGCCTGCTCTAGTCCGCCAGCACCAGGCTCTCTTACAGGACCAGGCTCGCTTTCTGGTAACGATACCACGAAGGTAGCGCTGAGCCTGCAATTTAGGGACCAGAACGTTCTCTAGGCCTGTATTGGACTCCATGAATTAAGTAACCGGGGAGGTTGCTTAGGATACTTGGTGCGCTAGAGTCTCGCTCGCGGAGCTCCGGCACCTGTAGAATTCTTTCAGAAGTCGTGCCGTGATCACGGAACGACTGCGGGAACCGTTCTTTTTTCAAATTCTCGTGGAATCCTAACCTTGCTTGGGAATCCTCGTTTCTGATTTCCCTGGCCAAAGTTTTTCGATGACGTCGCAGTTTATCTCTCGCAACACCCTGCCACCCGGCGTTGTCACATTCTCTACAAGCACGTCGAGAGATGTTGCAAGACGTGCCGTGATCGCGGCTCCCAGAGTCGTTCGTCGGCAATGCTCAGCCACGTGTCATAATCATCACAGAGTTCAATCGGACAGTCCCCGTGCACCGCAGGTGGCTGATTCTTCACGATCGACGTTTCGACCAGCTCGTTCGCTTAAGCTCAATGCGGAATTGACACGTGGAGGTTCTGGAAGCGACAGAATTGGGGGCTCAACCGCTAGGAAGGAGCTTTCGTGTGAGCCCCAGACACCGTTACAATCACGTTTAGATGCCGTTCAATCCAACTTCGAATCGTCCTCGTCGCGCCTGTGGGCCTCACTGTTCGGTTCTTCCGAAGAACTCAATAACGGGGATACGGCATCTCCCCGTTTGTGGCCCTCCCTCTCCGTCTCCTGCATGCTTCTTGCTCTTCTCAGCTCCTCTCTTCCAGCCTTAGCCTCCCCTGCCAGTGACATGTCCCCGATATTCGCCAACTCGACATCCGCGGCAGATTATCGTCTGAAAGATCACCGGATGCAGGAGCTTGCAAGCTCAGAAACCCCTGCCGCAAACGTCCCTGCTCAGACACCTGATATAAATAGAGAGGGAATTTTGCAAGTGGCGTTGTTGCCTGCCCCGCCGTTAGAGTCGGCTTCGAACTTCGCTGAACCTTCCACCACCACCACCAGCACCTTCAGTACTGGTAGCCCTATCAGCAGCAGCAGCAGCAGTACTGACAGCAGCAGCAGCAGCAGTGGCAGCAGTAACAGCACCAGCAGCACTGCCTCTTCCTCTCTCTTCTGCCCTCCCCCGTCCTCCACCAATCTCTCAGGCGAACGTTTTGCTCCTGAAGCCGAAATTACGGACCAATCAGTGGTCCTGGAGGCCTGGGAAGTGGTCAACGAAACATTTTTCGATGCCCGGAACAAGGGGTGGACGCCCGAGGCTTGGGCAGCAAAAAAAGAGGCTATTCTTCGGAAACCCCCCAAAAGTAGGGGGGAAGCTTACGCCATGATCAGCAGCATGCTGGCCAGCTTAAACGACCCATATTCCCGGTTTGTTTCGCCTAAGCAATTCGCGGCATTAGCTAAGTACGACGTTACTGGTATCGGGCTAAACATTGGCGAGGATGTGGAGGACGGGCGGGTGAAGCTGAAGGTGGTGGGGATCGTGCTCGGCTCGCCAGCACAGCTAGCAGGTGAGCTCATCTTGACCGGTACGACGTACGTATTCACTATAATCGGACTCATTGTAAGGGGAAAGACATGGAGGACGGACGGGTGATGCTTATAGTGGTGGGGAGATGGCGCACGGCTCACCAGCACAGCTAGCAGGTGATCTAGTCGTTACCAGTAAGGCCTTGCATATATGGTAAAATCCAATTCACTGTAGGAGGAACAACATGGAGGGCGGGCAGGTGAAGCTTAAAGGGAATTGTGTTTGGCTCGCTGGCACAGCTAGCAGGTGAGCTCATCTTGACCGAAACGACCTGATATACTTACTGAAAATGGGGGCTGACTGTGGGGGAAAGATGTGGAGGACGGGCGGGTGAAGCTTAAAGTGGTGGGGATCGTGCTCGGCTCGCGAGCACAGCTAGCAGGTGAGCTCATCTCGACCGGTACAATATGACGTTTTCACTGAAGTGGGGTAGGCTGTAAGGGGGGATTACATCTCGCCGGCACAACTAGCAGGTGAGCTCATAGCGACATCACAGTATACACAGCCAGGTTTTATCGGGTTGAGAGTTGGCGAGGATGTGGAGGGCGGGAGGGTGAAGCTGAAGGTGGTGGGGATCGTGCTCGGCTCACCAGCACAGCTAGCAGGTGAGCTCATCTCGACCGGTACAATATGACGTTTTCACTGAAGTGGGGTAGGCTGTAAGGGGGAATTACATCTCGCCAGCACAACTAGCAGGTGAGCTCATAGCGACATCACAGTATACACAGCCAGGTTTTATCGGGTTGAGAGTTGGCGAGGATGTGGAGGGCGGGCGGGTGAAGCTGAAGGTGGTGGGGATCGTGCTCGGCTCACCAGCACAGCGAGCAGGTGAGCTCGTCTTTACCTGTAAGACGTTACATATTGAATAAAATCATCCAACACAACCCCACCACCCCTTTACCAACCGCACTTGTGCATTAAACGGAAATTGGCTAATTGCGTCCCATCCCCTCCACCCCTAATCCCTGTTACCCCCCACCCTCTCACCCCTCATCCAGGCGTGCAGCAAGGGGACAGGCTCGTTTCAGTAGACGGAACAAGCGTGCAGGGCATGCCCGCATTCAGTAGAAATTGGCGCATCCCATTCCCTCCACTCTTCAATCCCCGTTTCTCTCCTCCCCCCCCCCTCCCCCCCACCTTCCCCATCTCCTCTCCCCGTCCACACTCTCATCCGGGCGTGCGGCAATGCGACGAGCTCGTTTCAGTGGATGGCATGAGTGTACAGGGCATGTCCGCATTCGACGTATCTTCGCTCATCCCATCCCATCCATCCCTCAATCTCTGTTCTTTCCGACCCTGCCCTCCACCCCACCATCCAGGCGTGCGGCAAGGCGACGAGCTCGTGTCAGTGGACGGCACGAGCGTACAAGGCATGTCCGCATTCGACGTATCTTCGCTCATTCAGGGCCCCAAGGGCACCCCTGTCACCATCGCCATCCGCCACGACTCGTGCTCCCCTATAGAGTCCCTCACTATGTCACGCACTAGCGAAGTGCAGTCGCCCGTGCTTTACCGCCTCGACCGAAACGACCCCATCTCTCCTCTGGGGTTATTTCAGGACTTCTCCTCTGCTGCTTCCTCCTCCTCCTCCCCCTCTCCCTCCGCTTCCTCCTCCTCTTCCATGTTCTCTTCGGTGTTTTCCTCCTCCTCTGCCCCAACCGGCCCTGTTGGTTACATTCGGCTCAAGGAATTTAATGCGGCGGCAAAACGTGACGTGGTAACCGCAATCCAACGGCTAGAAGCAGCCGGGGCGACATCTTTTGTCCTCGACCTACAGGACAACCCGGGCGGGCTCGTGCAATCGGGGGTAGAAATCGCGAAACTCTTCCTCGAGCGAGGGCAAACCGTGGTCTACACCGAGGCCCGCCCGGGTGATTTACCCCAGAAAAGAAGCATCGAAGCCACGGGGAAACCGCTCACCCGTGCTCCTCTAACGGTCCTGGTCAACGGCCGAACAGCCAGTGCTAGTGAAATCGTCGCGGGCGCGTTGCATGACAACTGCCGAGCGGTTTTGGTCGGGTCGAGAACCTTCGGAAAGGGGCTGATTCAGAGTGTGTATGAATTGAATGATGGTTCCGGCATGGTGGTGACGGTGGGGAAATATGTGACTCCTGGGCTGGTAGATATTGATGGGAACGGCATTGCAGCAGATTTCAGAAGGAAGCCGAGCGGGGATATGGCGCGATGGAAGCTTGCCAACTGCAAGGTGCCCAGCTCGTAGGGTTGGGGTTGGGTAGGAGAGGGTTGCAGGCTTGGGGTAGGAGGAAGAGGGCTGTTTTTTGGGGAGGGGGGTGCTGGTTAGGGAGGTGGAGAAAATGACAGTTGTCAAGTTAGGGGAAGGAAGCCGAGTGGGGAGATGGCGAGATGTAAGCTCGCCAACTGCAAGGTGCCGAGCTCATAGGCTCGAGGAAAGGAGGGACGGTGGTGACAGTGGGGAAGGGGAGCGATAGTGGTGGCAGTGGGAAAGGGGAGCAAAAGTGGTGTTGGGGAAGCAGAGGGATGGTGGTGACGGTGGGGAAATATGTGACTCCTGGTCTGGTGGATATCGATGGGAACGGCATTGCAGCGGATTTCAGGCGGAAGCGGAGCGGGGATATGGCGCGATGGAAGCTTGCCAACTGCAAGGTGCCGAGCTCATAGGGTTGGGGGGATGGTGGTGATGGTGGGGAAGGGGCGCTTTATTGGTGGCAGTGGGAAGGAGGAGGGATGGTGGTGCTGGGGAAGCAGAGGGATGGTGGTGACGGTGGGGAAATATGTGACTCCTGGTCTGGTGGATATTGATGGGTACAGGATTGCAGCGGATATCAGAAGGAAGCTGAGCGGGGATATGGCGCGATGGAAGCTTGCCAACTGCAAGGTGCCAAGCTAGTAGGCTTGGGGAAGGCGAGGCGCCTTAGAAGTGGCAGGAGGTTGAACGGAGGGAGCGGTGGACAGGTGTGAATCGGAAAGAGATAAAAGGTGCTGGCAGGGAGGCGGGGAGAGGGAGGGACCCCTGCCTACACGTAATGCCTCTAGCTTCAGCGCTCAAGGTGGGAGAGTGGAGGGGAGGGGAGGGAGGACACGAGGAACAGCAGAGCAGAGTTGAAGGTGAAAAACCTAAATTCTGGTATGGAGCAAGATTGTTTTAGGGATTGAAGGTAAACTGTTGCTCAAACTGGTTGTTGAGATAGAAACAGGGTGCATGTAGGTTTTAGTCTGTATTGGGTACGTGTCTTCTGGTGCCACCTACCTACCACATGCTCACAGGCATAACCCGCGTTTCAGCATCACCCTCACCACAGCAGAATGCAAGTACTGCATTTGCGATACGATGCATTTCAATTTCACAGTTCATCAGTACTACTGTTTGCGATACCGGTACGATACACTCAAAACCAAAACGGCATGCTAGATGTCTTCTACAACAAATAATCTATTATCAGGCGGTTCACAATAGAGAAGAAACTAATACTGGACGGTAATCATGGACATAAGGTATTGTAGTGGAGAGCAAAACAAACCCACCCAACCTTACATCCTCACCTCACTGCCAAAACGGAACCTCATTCCATAACCTCTTGAACCCACACTATGCCATGCAGCATCAATGCTATACACATGCATCATGCTGTACATGCCTACACAAACCAGACTCTTGTTACCTATATCACTGCCAGAACGGAACCTCATTCCATAACCGTTTGCACCGCTCCGTTGCTGAAGCCTCCAGCAGCAGCAGCAGCACATCCAACCCCTCTGCTCCCCCAATCCCTTCCATGAATCAAGGTGTAGGCCCATCCCAGACCCTACATCATTACCAGAACAGAACCTCACTCCATAACCTCTTGAAGCGCTCCGCTGCTGATGCCTCCAGCAGCAGCAGCACATCCAGCCCCTCTGGTCCCCCAACCCCCATGAACCACGGTAGGCCCATACCAGACCCTATATCACTGCCAGAACGGAACCTCATTCCATAACCTCTTGAACCGCTCTGAAGCTGCAGCCTCCAGCAGCAGCAGCACATCCAACCCCTCTGCTCCCCCAATCCCTTCCATCACCACCACCATGCCATCGCAGCATGGGAGCCTCGGCACCCCCACATACCATGGCCGGGCGCCAAAATCCGCATCATACATGCCGTGATTCACCCATGACGTCAGCATGATGTCATCCCCGAAGAAAAAATCCGTCCCGACTCGCACAGAGGAGATGTTTTGCTGCTCCGTGAGGTATTCTATGGCGTCGCGCATGTGGGTATCGGAGCAGCTTATAATGGATCGCCGGATTCTCTGCGCGACGAGGCTCAGTGTTGCAGCTGTTGTCTCACTAAGTTCAGAAGCGGAATAGCAAGACAAGGCGTTGAAGATCACGTTACCGCAATAGTTTTCGGGCAGAGGAGGGATTGATCTTCTCCGGCCGTTGACACCAGTGGTGAAACGGACGTCTTTATTATGGCCTCGGGCTTGCGAGATTAGGAGGAGCATGAGTGCTGACACAGAGTCATTAGTGCTGACGTAGGTGGGTCCTTGGGGGTCGTAATCCGTCAGATGGAGTTCTGATGTGGGATCCGACGGCCCTGATGCGATGGAGCCATTTAACGGCCCAGATGCAACGGATCTGAGTGTTTTGAGCTGGTTGGGGGAGAGGTGGAAGATGGAATGCGAGGTTGCAGGAAACACAGGCGCTGCTGCTACAGCTGGCACTGCTGCTGCTGCTGCTGCTGCTGGTGGTGCCTCTGCTTCTCCTGTTGCTGCTGCTGTTGCTGTTTTTGAAACAGTTGTTGTTGCTAATTGTACTGCTTCTGATGCTGCTGCTGATGCTGCTTCTTCTGATGCCGCTATCTCTGTCGCTGCTGGTTTTAATGTTACTGCTTCTGCTACTGTCGCTGCTTGTGCAGGTTGTGGGAAAGATTCCACAACCCTGAACTCAGGATGAGGCAGCTTAGACCCAACTCCCTTCCCAAACAGCAGCGACCTATTATGACAAATCACATGCCGCTGCTGCACCGTACCACTCCTCACCCCTCTGTACCGCATCCCCCACATCTTCATGAATGTGAACATTCCCTCTCCGTCCACTAAGCAGTGACTGATATTCACTCCAATCGCCATCCCGCCATCCGCTAGAATAGTAGCCTTAATGGAGATTAACTCAGTCGGATCGCGTTCTGGCATCAACGACATTGGGAGGGAAGCCATGGCTTCGGTGGTTGTGAGAGGGGTGAACGGATTTTCTGGTTCGGACTCTGATGGAAATAAACTTGGAACTCGATCGAATCTGATTGCTTTCGCCCCTGCAGCGAGGCATCCCCTCGTTTGTAGCACGCTCGTTACGCCAGTTGCAGGATCAACGTGCAACCTGCCCAGCATAATAGGGTAATCTTGTTCGATTAGATCCACGAATGACGAGCGAAGCCGGTCCAAATCGTACGGTTGATTCACCAACTCCTCGGTTGAGTCGGCGAGAGTATCATGTGCCTCGAAAGAAGTTCTAGGTTCGGCAGAAATTGGTTCGGAAAGCGTATCTGGTTTGGCAAGAGGTACTTGTTGGGCAGACACTCGGCTGGCGACTCTTGGAGGCTCGGAAGGTGGCAAATCGCAGGATTTTGGAGGTCCGGGAGGCGGAAATATGTAAACTATGGTGAACCCGAACGGGCCCATCACTGCATCCAACGGAGATAAGCGAATCAGCGTATCCTCGATTGTAGCCGCTGCGAAATCCATATTTATTGCCCTAACACGACCTGCTAGCCGGTCCGTCGTGGGCGAGTCCTCGGTTTGAGCGTCCATGATGGTCGAACGGGGGTGTATCACAGATGAGAACTGCCAGGCAAGAACGCGTGAGAGAGACTGGCGGAATGGCGGCAGGGAAAGAAATTGAAGAAAGGCGAGGAAGAAAAGAGAGGTCGAGCAAAGGTAGAACAAGGCTCGCGGGGCAAGCGATCGACAGCAAGTGCGCGGGGTTGAAATGTCTGACTTGGATAGTCTCGTCTCGTTACTCGTAACGTGTTCATGTGCCTGCTAGTTGGGTAGGGGGCGCCATAGTTCGATTTGAAACGCTATTGGGTTCGTGCTGTACTAGGGCGTGTAACATTTTCCGTTTTCGTCAAATGTCCGGACGGAGTCCCCAAAACGCCTACAGAACAGCGCCAAAATGTAGCAGACATTACTGCCAACGTAAAGCGTCGTGAGGGTTCGCCTGCAAATTCTGCTGCGTCGTATTGGGTGAGATTTTCAACACATCGTGCGCCAATGACAGTGCAGAAAAACCAAACGGTCCGATATGCCGTTCGGACGGTGTCAGCAGGGTAGTCTGGACCAATTTTTGACAAAAGTGTCAGACATGGTCCGGACGGTGGCGACGTCGCAGGGGGTCTCGTGAAGCCTACACGGAAGTGCGGCGAAATCAGTTACCCTACAAATGTCCGGAATGGTTTCCGTCCGGACAATGAAATGTAAAAAAGTTACACGCCCTAATGTCTTGCAGGGGGGCTGATCTCCTGCAGGGTTCACCCAAAAGCTCGAAAGTGCAGATCTATCCTCGTTTGTAGCCTGTGAAAACAAATAATGTGCATGCTCGTGTATGTATACTTCTAGTTAAGTAAAATTTCTTTTACACATACACGAGCATTGAAGATAAGGTGCCACCCGATAGCGAAGCCAGAGCAACCACTATGGAGTACAACGAGCACAAAACACCAGCCAAAGAAAACATGTCTAGAGCTCAGCTGTAGCTGCTTCTTCTCCCAGCCGCGTAGGTCCTGAATTAGTCGTACGCGAGAGTCTTCGTGAATTAGGAAGAAAAAAGTTCCTCGAAAAGCTTAGAGTCGACTTGAAAGCGACCGTAAACGCAATAGAGTTTCGAAACAGCGTGGTAGCCTTTCAAATGAGGCAGTGCATCCTAAGTTGTTTTTTGGGAAACACCGTCGCAGCGTACTGAGACATTGTAGTTGAGTCTGCCACAATCGTTCAGCGTCGCAGCCTGTCGTTCAGCGTCGCAGCCTGTCGTACAACATCGTAGCTTGTATGTACCGTTGTAACCGGTCGTGTAACGTCGTAACCGGTCGCATAGCGTCGTAACCGGTCGCATATCGTCGTAACCGGTCGCATATCGTCGTATCCGGTCGCGTAGCATCGTAGCCGGTCGCATAACGTCGTATCTGGTCGCACAGCGTCCGGTCGCATATCGTCGTAGCCGGTCGCACAGCGTCGTTGCGGGGTGTCATGGAGAGTCGCCGCACGAACACAACCACCGCCAGCGCTAGCAGCAGCAGCCGCGGTAGCAGCAGCGGTAGCAACAGCAACAGCAGCGGTGGAATGCGGTCGCTTCTCTTCAGCTGGAGTCACGTGGAGGTTTCGAGACGAGGCGAGGCAGGGAGGAGAGGGCGTGGCGGGGAAGGGGAGGGGGAGCGAGGAGGCGCAGGAGGAAGGGGAGATAGAGAAAGGGGGCGGGAAAGGCAGAGAGAAAGGGGTGGAGAGAGCGGTGGAGGCACAGGGGGGGGAAGGGGAGGCAGTGGGGGAGGCGTGGGCGGAGGGGGAGGCAGCGGAGGGAGCAGGGGGACGGCGCAAGCAGCAGGCGCAAGCGCAGCACCACCGGCGCAAGCAGCGGCAGGAGAATCCGCAGCGACCTCGAGTGTGCAGAGGCGTGCAGAGCGGTTGAAGGAGCAGGGGAACGAGCAGTACAGCGCGGGGAACATCGCAGCCGCTATCACATGCTATACCGAGGTGCGTTTCAAGTCTCTCCTGCTCTCGTACTTAATTGAAGGAGCAGGGGAACGAGCAGTACAGCGTGGGGAACATAGCCGCTGCTATCACATGCTATACTGAGGTGCGTTTTAGGGCTGGGGCTCATCTTGAGTGCGCAGAGGCGTGCAGAGCGGTTCAAAGAGCAGGGGAACGAGCAGTACAGCGCGGGGAACATGGCCGCCGCTATTGCGTTCTACACTGAGGTACGGTACAGGGGCCTCCTCCTGCCCTCCGTCCCTTGGTTGAAGCAGCAGGGGAACGAGCAGCACAGCGCAGGGAACATGACCGCTGCCATCACGTGCTACAGCGAGGTATGGGGAACATAGCGGCAGGGCCTGGCTGAGGTACGGTACTGGACTTTCCTGCTCTCCCTCCCTTGGTTGAAGGAGCAGGGGAACGAGCAGTACAGCGCAGGGAACATCGCAGCCTCTATGACGTGCTACACTGAGGTACGGTACAGGGCTGAGGGCTCCCTTTTGAGTCGACTCAAAAGCACACTGAGGTACGGTACAGGGCTGAGGGCTCCCTTTTGAGTCGACTCAAAAGCACACTGAGGTACGGTACAGGGCTGAGGGCTCCCTTTTGAGTCGACTCAAAAGCACACTGAGGTCACGTGAAAGAAGGAGTGTTTTGAGACGTCTCAAAACACTCCCTTTTGAGTCGACTCAAAAGCACACTGAGGTCACGTGAAAGAAGGAGTGTTTTGAGACGTCTCAAAACACTCCCTTTTGAGTCGACTCAAAAGCACACTGAGGTCACGTGAAAGAAGGAGTGTTTTGAGACGTCTCAAAACACTCCCTTTTGAGTCGACTCAAAAGCACACTGAGGTCACGTGAAAGAAGGAGTGTTTTGAGACGTCTCAAAACACTCCCTTTTGAGTCGACTCAAAAGCACACTGAGGTCACGTGAAAGAAGGAGTGTTTTGAGACGTCTCAAAACACTCCCTTTTGAGTCGACTCAAAAGCACACTGAGGTCACGTGAAAGAAGGAGTGTTTTGAGACGTCTCAAAACACTCCCTTTTGAGTCGACTCAAAAGCACACTGAGGTCACGTGAAAGAAGGAGTGTTTTGAGACGTCTCAAAACACTCCCTTTTGAGTCGACTCAAAAGCACACTGAGGTCACGTGAAAGAAGGAGTGTTTTGAGACGTCTCAAAACACTCCCTTTTGAGTCGACTCAAAAGCACACTGAGGTCACGTGAAAGAAGGAGTGTTTTGAGACGTCTCAAAACACTCCCTTTTGAGTCGACTCAAAAGCACACTGAGGTCACGTGAAAGAAGGAGTGTTTTGAGACGTCTCAAAACACTCCCTTTTGAGTCGACTCAAAAGCACACTGAGGTCACGTGAAAGAAGGAGTGTTTTGAGACGTCTCAAAACACTCCCTTTTGAGTCGACTCAAAAGCACACTGAGGTCACGTGAAAGAAGGAGTGTTTTGAGACGTCTCAAAACACTCCCTTTTGAGTCGACTCAAAAGCACACTGAGGTCACGTGAAAGAAGGAGTGTTTTGAGACGTCTCAAAACACTCCCTTTTGAGTCGACTCAAAAGCACACTGAGGTCACGTGAAAGAAGGAGTGTTTTGAGACGTCTCAAAACACTCCCTTTTGAGTCGACTCAAAAGCACACTGAGGTCACGTGAAAGAAGGAGTGTTTTGAGACGTCTCAAAACACTCCCTTTTGAGTCGACTCAAAAGCACACTGAGGTCACGTGAAAGAAGGAGTGTTTTGAGACGTCTCAAAACACTCCCTTTTGAGTCGACTCAAAAGCACACTGAGGTCACGTGAAAGAAGGAGTGTTTTCAGACGTCTCAAAACACTCCCTTTTGAGTCGACTCAAAAGCACACTGAGGTCACGTGAAAGAAGGAGTGTTTTGAGACGTCTCAAAACACTCCCTTTTGAGTCGACTCAAAAGCACACTGAGGTCACGTGAAAGAAGGAGTGTTTTGAGACGTCTCAAAACACTCCCTTTTGAGTCGACTCAAAAGCACACTGAGGTCACGTGAAAGAAGGAGTGTTTTGAGACGTCTCAAAACACTCCCTTTTGAGTCGACTCAAAAGCACACTGAGGTCACGTGAAAGAAGGAGTGTTTTGAGACGTCTCAAAACACTCCCTTTTGAGTCGACTCAAAAGCACACTGAGGTCACGTGAAAGAAGGAGTGTTTTGAGACGTCTCAAAACACTCCCTTTTGAGTCGACTCAAAAGCACACTGAGGTCTCGTGAAAGAAGGAGTGTTTTCAGACGTCTCAAAACACTCCCTTTTGAGTCGACTCAAAAGCACACTGAGGTCACGTGAAAGGAGTGTTTTGAGACGTCTCAAAACACTCCCTTTTGAGTCGACTCAAAAGCACACTGAGGTCACGTGAAAGAAGGAGTGTTTTGAGACGTCTCAAAACACTCCCTTTTGAGTCGACTCAAAAGCACACTGAGGTCACGTGAAAGAAGGAGTGTTTTGAGACGTCTCAAAACACTCCCTTTTGAGTCGACTCAAAAGCACACTGAGGTCACGTGAAAGAAGGAGTGTTTTGAGACGTCTCAAAACACTCCCTTTTGAGTCGACTCAAAAGCACACTGAGGTCACGTGAAAGAAGGAGTGTTTTGAGACGTCTCAAAACACTCCCTTTTGAGTCGACTCAAAAGCACACTGAGGTACGGTACAGGGCTGAGGGCTCCCTTTGCATTAAGGTACTGTCTGTAGTGTACGGTACAGTACACTGGTACATGGACTTGGAGTGTGCAGAGACGGGCGGAGAGCAGCCTCTATCACGTGCTACAATGAGGTATAGTAGTGCTAAGTGCCCCCCTGGTCCTGTCCTGCTACTATCCAGAGGTATAGTGCCTCCCCCTGTCCGCCCAATGGAGCCCCAGTTTGCTTGAAAAAAAGTCTGACGCTATCCAGAGGTATGGTGCCTCCCCCTGTCCGCCTTGGACAAGCGTCCCTTCCCGTCCCGTCCCTTTCCATCTGCCTTCCCCACCAAGCCATTCAGGAAGGCAGGGTGGGAGGCGATTCACCTTGTGACGATTTTTGAGGCACCTCAAAAAAAGACGGCAGGGTGAGAGGCGATCCAATCCAACTTCTGTACCAACCGAAAGCGAGCGAGGGTGAGAGTGAAAGCAAGCAAAGAACTTTAATGCCCCCTTTCCTTCCCCTTCCCTTCCTCTTCATTTCACTTATCTTCCCACCAGGCCATTCGCCTGTGTCCATCTGTTGCCACCTTCTGGACCAACCGGGCTCTGTGCAACAGAAAGCAAGGGTGTGTGTGCCATCCCATCCCTTCCCTCCCCTCCCCATCCATCCCTTCCCCGTTCCCTTTACCAGGCCATTCGCCTGTGTCCCTCCGTTGCCACCTTCTGGACCAACCGTGCTCTGTGCCACAGGAAGCGAGGGTGAGTGGGGAAGACTGGGGGCTGGTTGGGGAGGAGTTGGGTGCTGAGGAACGGGTGGGAAAGAGCCTGTTTTGAGTCGACTCAAAAACAGGATTTGGGCGCTGGGACCTGGGTGGGGAAGAGTGGGGGGCATTTGGGGAAGAGTGGGGGGCATTTGGGGAAGAGTGGGGGCGGGTGAGGGGGAAGCATGAGAGGGTATACGTTCTAGACCAATTGCGCGTTGTGTCACCGGAAGCGAGGGTGAGATTGAGGGCTGCTTGGGTGGGGAAAGGAGGATTTTTTGAGGATGGATGGATGGATGGATGGACGGATGGATGGACGGATGGATGGATGGATGGATGGACGGACGGATGGATGGATGGATGGATGGATGGATGGATGGATGGATGGATGGATGGATGGATGGATGGATGGATGGATGGATGGATGGATGGATGGATGGATGGATGGATGGATGGATGGATGGATGGATGGATGGATGGATGGATGGATGCATGGACGGATGCATGGATGCATGCATGCATGCATGCATGGGTGAGTGAGTGACTGTGCCAGCAATTAAATGGTTCTCTTCTTCAGTGTCCTACCATCCCCCCGCTCTTCCTCCCGCTCTTCCCCCCGCTCTCCCCCCCGCTCTTCCCCCCGCTCTTCCTCCCGCTCTTCCCCCCGCTCTCCCCCCCGCTCTCCCCCCCGCTCTTCCCCCCGCTCTCCCCCCCGCTCTTCCCCCCGCTCTTCCTCCCGCTCTTCCCCCCGCTCTCCCCCCCGCTCTCCCCCCCCGCTCTTCCCCCCGCTCTCCCTCCCGCTCTTCCCCCGCTCTCCCTCCCGCTCTTCCCCTTGCTCTTCCCCTTGCTCTTCCCCTTGCTCTTCCCCTTGCTCTTCCCCTTGCTCTTCCCCTTGCTCTTCCCCTTGCTCTTCCCCTTGCTCTTCCCCTTGCTCTTCCCCTTGCTCTTCCCCTTGCTCTTCCCCTTGCTCTTCCCCTTGCTCTTCCCCTTGCTCTTCCCCTTGCTCTTCCCCTTGCTCTTCCCCTTGCTCTTCCCCTTGCTCTTCCCCTTGCTCTTCCCCCCGGTCTTCCCCCTCCATGCCACCATCCACCCTTCCCCCCCCCCCCCAGCGACTGGCTGCTGGTGGAGCACGACTGTGTGAGAGCGATCGAATATGACAAAAAGTCTGTCAAGGTGAGATTTGGCAGGTCGGTTGAGTGCGCATGGACTTGTATTTTTCCCCATTGTCTTCCTCACCCTTTCAAGGACATGCTTTTAGTTCAGACACGGAGTCTCACGGTTGGCCTGCTGCGATGCGACTCGAATCCTTCTTCTTTCTTTCTTTCTTTCTTTCTACCTGGGAACGACCCTCACAGAGCTGGGAACGGCCAGGCACACTTCTACCTGGGAACGGCCCTCACAGAGCTGGCTCGCTACCATATTTTAATATGCTCGTCTTTCCTTCTCCCCCATCCCCCCCCACTCCAAAACCGCCCCGCCTCTCCCACTCCCTTTCCGCCATGTTCCCCGCCAAACCGCACCAAACCATTTTACACCACACCAGGCACACTTCTACCTGGGAACGGCCCTCACAGAGCTGGCTCGCTACCCCGAAGCTGCTCATGTGCTGGAAAGGGTAAGCTGATCGTACCACACCGCACCACACCGCACTCCCTCGCACCGCTCGGCTCCAAACCCTGCCAGAGCTCACCTGCTACCCGAGGCTGTCCATGTGCTCAAAAGGGTGGGGTGATCTGCTAGAGACGGTGATGATCTAGGAGTCGATTTTTGAGTCGACTAAAAAATCGACTCATGTGCTTGAAAGGGTGAGGTGATCTGCTAGAGAGGGTGATGATTCAGGAGTCCCATGAGTGCTTTGGGTTGGTCTTACCACGCCACGCCACGCCACGCTATACATGGTCAACGAGCCGAGTTTTTCGCCTCGGCTCGTACGAGGCACTCGTTTGAGGGCGAGTGACGAGTGTCATTTTCCGGGAAAATAACTCGTCCGAGCCGAGGCGAGTTTTGCTCGGCGAGTTTTCAAAACTCGCCGAGCACTCGTTGCACCGACGAGTTTTTTGTGAAACTTGCCGAGCTTTTTTCACTCGGCGAGTTTTACGGAAAGCTCGGCGTGAACACCAAAACTGGTTGGGTTGGTACAAATGTGTTGGGCCATTTTTCCAGATCTACTTTTCCCGACTTTCATGCAGCCGACCCTCACCTCACAAACGCGATCATGGTCGCCTCCTAGCTCACGGAGCAATCTGGCCCGTTTTTAGCTTAAATTATGGTCACGGAGCAATCTGAACCTTGATTATACTCGGGATCCGTGTCACGGATTTAGGTTGCGACTTTTGAGTCGACTCAAAAGTCAGCTGATTATACTCGGGATCCGTGTCACGGTGGATTTAGGTTGCGCTGACATCTTGAAGTGCGTCGACCATTCGCCATAGGCTTTTTGAATATTTTGATGACTTAGGTTCAACATTGCTGACTACTTGCTGACGATGACCATAGGTTCAACATAGCTGACGATTACTACTTAGATCTGTTTTTGAGACGTCTCAAAAGTCGTCTACTTAGGTTCAACATAGCTGACGATTACTACTTAGATCTGACTGAATGCGGCCGATGATGGCACGTTCTGTGTATGGCAACGAGCCGAGATTTCCTTGAAGCTCGGACGAGCTTTTGAAAAGCTCGTGCTTTTTGGCCGAGTCACGAGCTTGCATTTGCCCAAAAAAAGCTCGTACGAGCAAAACTCGGCTCGGAACAAAGCTCGTACGAGTGTGCCTGGGAACGAGCCGAGTAAAACTCGGCTCAGCTGGTTGACCATGTATACGCCACGCCACGCCACACCACGCCACGCCACACTACACTACACTACACTACACCACACTACACTACACTACACTACACTACACCACATCACACTACACTACACCACACCACACCACATCACACTACACTACACCACACCACACCACATCACACTACACTGCACCACAGCACACCACACCATCTCTCTCCGGCGCCTCCCTCCCCGCCAGGCCGTGGAGATCATTCGGGACGACGAGGTGCTGGGCAGCAGCAGAGGGAACCTGAACGACGTGTGGAATGCCATGGCCACTGCCAGGTGGGTGCTGCTGCTGCTGCTACCACTCCACTGGCCTAACGGTGCATCAGGTATATGTGATGCTTCACTTATACCTGATGTGATGCTTCACTTATACCTGATGTCATGCTTCACTTATACCTGATGTAATGCGTGGCTGCATACATGGATCATGCCCATGTGCATTTTTCACTTTTGAGAAATCTCAAAAGTAATACCAACATGTGACGTGACGCTGTGCATTTCTTAGCCGACTTCAAATCATGTGGGTGCTGCTGTGCTGCTTCGAGGTGACTTGTGAGTCAACTTAAAAAGCCGACATGTATGGAATGCCATCATGTGAATCATGTGACTTGTGAGTCAACTTCAAAGCCGACATGTATGGAATGCCATCATGTGAATCATGTGACTTGTGAGTCGACTTCAAAGCCGACATGTATGGAATGCCATCATGTGAATCATGTGACTTGTGAGTCGACTTCAAAGCCGACATGTATGGAATGCCATCATGTGAATCATGTGACTTGTGAGTCGACTTCAAAGCCGACATGTATGGAATGCCATCATGTGAATCATGTGACTTGTGAGTCGACTTCAAAGCCGACATGTATGGAATGCCATCATGTGAATCATGTGACTTGTGAGTCAACTTCAAAGCCGACATGTATGGAATGCCATCATGTGAATCATGTGACTTGTGAGTCGACTTCAAAGCCGACTTAAAATCATGTGAATACTGCTGCTTCGGACATGTATGGAATGCCATTGCATTGCCACTGCTGAAGCAGCACCCACAAACACCATCCTGATTTCTCCTCGGTTCCGTTTCCCGTTTGTTGCTTCTCATCTGCTTCTTTCACTCTCATCTCTCGTCTCTCTAATGCGCCTCTGGACCATGCTTGCTCTGCTCTGCTCTTTCGCACTTCCCTCCCAAGTATCGAGATTCAGTTGAAAATCAATCTCGATACTGCCACGTATTGGACTCGATTGGATTCTGCCATAAATGGGGCTCGATTGGACTTTCTCTCTTCCCTCCCGAGTATCGAGATTCATCGCGGAGTAGCTGCAAACCTGTAGAAATCAGTTACGCAAATAGGATCGAGACTGTGGAAAAATGCTTCCAGAAATTCAAGCCGAACTCAAAACCTTCAAACTCTCGTCTCTCTAATGCGCCTGTGGACCATGCTTGCTCTGCTCTTCCTCTCTTCCCTCCCTAGTTGACTTCTGAGTCGACTTTCTAATCCGCCTCTGGACCTTGCTTTCTCGGCTCTTCCTCACTTCTCTTCCTCACTTCTCTTCCTCACTTCTCTTCCTCACTTCTCTTCCTCACTTCTCTTCCTCACTTCTCTTCCTCACTTCTCTTCCTCACTTCTCTTCCTCACTTCTCTTCCTCACTTCTCTTCCTCACTCCTCTTCCTCACTTCTCTTCCTCACTTCTCTTCCTCACTTCTCTTCCTCACTTCTCTTCCTCACTTCTCTTCCTCACTTCTCTTCCTCACTTCTCTTCCTCACTTCTCTTCCTCACTTCTCTTCCTCACTTCTCTTCCTCACTTCTCTTCCTCACTCCTCTTCCTCACTCCTCTTCCTCACTTCTCTTCCTCACTTCTCTTCCTCACTTCTCTTCCTCACTTCTCTTCCTCACTTCTCTTCCTCACTTCTCTTCCTCACTTCTCTTCCTCACTTCTCTTCCTCACTTCTCTTCCTCACTTCTCTTCCTCACTTCTCTTCCTCACTTCTCTTCCTCACTTCTCTTCCTCACTTCTCTTCCTCACTTCTCTTCCTCACTTCTCTTCCTCACTTCTCTTCCTCACTTCTCTTCCTCACTTCTCTTCCTCACTTCTCTTCCTCACTTCTCTTCCTCACTTCCTCTTCCTCACTTCTCTTCCTCACTTCTCTTCCTCACTTCTCTTCCTCACTTCTCTTCCTCACTTCTCTTCCTCACTTCTCTTCCTCACTTCTCTTCCTCACTTCTCTTCCTCACTTCTCTTCCTCACTTCTCTTCCTCACTTCTCTTCCTCACTTCTCTTCCTCACTTCTCTTCCTCACTTCTCTTCCTCACTTCTCTTCCTCACTTCTCTTCCTCACTTCTCTTCCTCACTTCTCTTCCTCACTTCTCTTCCTCACTTCTCTTCCTCACTTCTCTTCCTCACTTCTCTTCCTCACTTCTCTTCCTCACTTCTCTTCCTCACTTCTCTTCCTCACTTCTCTTCCTCACTTCTCTTCCTCACTTCTCTTCCTCACTTCTCTTCCTCACTTCTCTTCCTCACTTCTCTTCCTCACTTCTCTTCCTCACTTCTCTTCCTCACTTCTCTTCCTCACTTCTCTTCCTCCATCATTCCCCTCCCTCCTGTCTCCTCCATCATTCCCCTCCCTCCTGTCTCCTCCATCATTCCCCTCCCTCCTGTCTCCTCCATCATTCCCCTCCCTCCTGTCTCCTCCATCATTCCCCTCCCTCCTGTCTCCTCCATCATTCCCCTCCCTCCTGTCTCCTCCATCATTCCCCTCCCTCCTGTCTCCTCCATCATTCCCCTCCCTCCTGTCTCCTCCATCATTCCCCTCCCTCCTGTCTCCTCCATCATTCCCCTCCTCACAACTGCAAGGTACCGGCAGTGGGAGGTGGAAACGTCGATGCGAAAGAGGAAGCAGCAGCAGCTGAGGTGAGTGGGGAGCACAGGTGTTGGAAATACATGAGTAATAGGCAAACATGAGTTGCACTTGGTCTTAAACATGGCATGCAACACAAATGGGACCGGCAGTGGGAGGTGCAAGTGTCGTTGTGAAAGTGGAAGCAGCAGCAGCAGTAGGAGGCAAGTGCGGAGCAATGTGTTGGGGGTTGAACACACGGTAGGCAAGTGCGGAGCAATGTGTTGGGGGTTTAGGCAAACACAGACGCCGACTCACATACTACTTGCATGGTTGTGCTTCTGTTAGGTTTTTGCTAAAGCCTTAAGGGGAGCTGTTGAAGCAGCAATTGATTGTGATGTGAGCGCCTCAGAAAAGAAATGATCTAATCAAGACTTGTGAGGGGCTGTTTGTTTCTCCCTGCGTTCTTTCCTCACAACACATGTGCTCCCAGAGAGTCTCTAAGACGTCTCCCTGACTTCAGGGCTTTCCTGGGGGAGCTGCTGAAGGAGCAATTCACTATGAGACGCGTTAGAGACTCTCTAAGTTCATCCCCGCACACACCCGTTCCTTTCTCCTTGCACCCTCCCACTCACACCCGTTACTTTCTCCTTGCACCCTCCCACACACACCCGTTCCTTTCTCCTTGCACCCTCCCACTCACACCCGTTACTTTCTCCTTGCACCCTCCCACACACACCCGTTCCTTTCTCCTTGCACCCTCCCACACACACCCGTTCCTTTCTCCTTGCACCCTCCCGCACACACCCGTTCCTTTCTCCTTGCACCCTCCCGCACACACCCGTTCCTTTCTCCTTGCACCCTCCCACACACACCCGTTCCTTTCTCCTTGCACCCTCCCACACACACCCGTTCCTTTCTCCTTGCACCCTCCCACACACACCCGTTCCTTTCTCCTTGCACCCTCCCACACACACCCGTTCCTTTCTCCTTGCACTCTGCTCTCCACTTGTGCGTTGACCTCAGGGCTTTCCTGGGGGAGCTGATGAAGGAGCAGTTGCAGGCAGACTTGGCTGCAATCACAGGTGATGAGAGGTGGTGAGAGGTGATGAGAGGTGGTGAGAGGTGATGAGAGGTGGTGAGAGGTGGGGAAAGGTGACGAGAGGTGATGAAAGGTGGTGAGAGGTGATGGCAGGTAATGAGCATAATGCTGTGCTGTGTCGCTGGTATGGGGGGTGGTGGTGATGATTGTGGTGCTGCCCCCGTTATTCTCCCTCTCAAAACCTGGGGGAGGGCGACAGCACCACAATCATCACCACCACCCCCATTACACAATGGGGGGTGGTGGTGATGATGATTGTGGTGCTGCCCCCATTATTATCCCTCTCTCTCCCTTTCTTCCTCTCCTTCTCCCCCTCTCCCTCTCTCTCCCTCATTCTAGCTGAGCGCTCCTCAAACCCTGGAGGCACAACTGAGGCACAACTGAGGCAGGCCTTCTGTCCACCACTGTGGGCCGTGCTCCTCTCTCAATCCTTCTCCTCCCTTTCCTCCCTCCGTCTCCCTCGTTCTCCCTCTTTCTCCCTCTTTCTCCCTCGTTCTCCCTCTTCCTCCCTCTTTCTCCCTCTTTCTCCCTCGTTCTCCCTCTTCCTCCCTCTTTCTCCCTCTTTCTTCCTCCCTCTTTCTCCCTCTTTCTTCCTCTCTCTTCTTCTCTGCCCTCTCCCTCTCCCTTTCCCTCTCCCCCTCTCCCTCTCTCGAACCCCCAGGTTCTAAACCGCTTCCAATCCAGCAGGACGCCCTTCAAACCCTCGAGGCACTTCTGAGGGAATACCCCTCCTCCTCGTCCTCCTCACTATTCTTGCGCTTCCTCTCTCCCTCTCCCTCTCTCCCTGCCTTTCAACCCCAGGTTTCAAACCCCTTCCAATCCAGCAGGGCGCCCTTCAAACCCTCGAGGCGCTACTGAAGGAGGGTCCCTCCTCTTCCTCTTCCTTTTGAGGCGCCTCAATGATAGACTCTCACCCTCTCTCCCTGTCGCCCTCCCCCAGGTTCTAAAGCTCTTCCAATCCAGCAAGACGCCCTTCAAACCCTCGAGGCACTCTTGAGGGAAGACCCTTCCTCTTCCTTTTTGAGGCGCCTCAATGATAGACTCTCGCCCTCTCTCCCTGCCTCCCTCTCCCTCTCTCCCTCAGGTCTGTTCTGTGCTCATGAAGAAGGGCAGCAGTAGGCAAGGTCGCCTTTAGCAAAGGGATCATACCCTTCCTCTTCCTTTTTGAGGCGCCTCAATGATAGACTCTCGCCCTCTCTCCCTGCCTCCCTCTCCCTCTCTCCCTCAGGTCTGTTCTGTGCTCATGAAGAAGGGCAGCAGTAGGCAAGGTCGCCTTTAGCAAAGGGATCATACCCTTCCTCTTCCTTTTTGAGGCGCCTCAATGATAGACTCTCACCCTCTTTCCCTGCCTCCCTCTCACCCTCTCTCCCTCAGGTTCCAAACCGCTTCCAATCCAGCAGGACGCCCTTCAAACCCTCGAGGCACTTCTGAGGGAAGACCCCTCCTCCTCGTCCACCTCCTCCACTCCTCCGCAGTCTCCTTCGTTACAGTCACGTCCATTACAGTCATCGTCAGCATCAGCATCACCAGCAATGGCGGCGGCGGCAGCACCGGCAGCAGCAGGCTCAGGAAGAGCAGGAGGGGCGGAGCAGGGACCACTGTCCCCACAAATGCCAAGAGGAGGGTGTTTCTCCCAGGGGTTCCCAGGCAGCTGTTGCTGCCCCTCCGTGCCCCTCCGAGCGCCTCAGACCACCAGTGCCTCCTCCTCTGCAGCAGCAGCAGCCGCAGCATCATCACCAGGAGCAGAAGGGGCAGTTTTTGAGTCGACTCAAAACTGCCCCTCCGTGCCCCGAGCGCCTCAGACCACCAGTGCCTCCTCCTCTGCAGCAGCAGCAGCAGCATCATCATCATCATCAGGAGCAGAAGGGGCAGTGTTTGAGTCGACTCAAAACTGCCCCTCCGTGCCCCGAGCGCCTCAGACCACCAGTGCCTCCTCTACAGCAGCAGCAGCAGCAGCAGCAGCAGCAGCAGCAGCAACAGCAGTAGCACCGTCTGCTACCTCTTCAGCAGCAGCAGAAGTAGGTAGGGAGTGTGATTCAGTGGGTGGGAGAGCAGCAGATGCAGCGTCAGCAGCATCTGATCCGGCAAGAGTAGAAACAGAAGCAGCAGCAGCAGCAGCAGCAGCAGTCGAAGCAGGGGAAACAGCATTGGTTGAGAGAGGAGGAGGCGCAGCAACAACAGCAGCAGCAGCAGCAGCAGCAGGAGCAATCCCAGCCATAGCAATACCGGGTGAAGGGATGGACAGTTGTGAAAATGTAGCGGCAAATGCTGAGAGGACAATAACAGCAGAAGTTGTAAGGGCAATTCCAGCAGCAGGGCAGCTAAGGCCTGCAGAGCGGAGTGACTATAACGAGGACGGAGTGGACCGGCATTGCAGGAGTGACTACATCGAAGGGGATTGTACAGAAACCAGGTGTATTCAAGAAGGGAGGTGTGATTGTGATCAAGGTGATTCTGGTTCTGGATTGACTCAGGGACGGTGTGACTACAACGAAGGTCAGGCCAGAGAGGCCAGCCTCCTGTCTATAGAGGATGCCACGTCAGCAGATTGTGCCACGTCAGCAGGACCTGCAGCTGGGGATGCAGCAGAGGGTGCAACAGCAGTGGAAGAGGCGGCCTCTCTGCTGCTCCAATCATACATTGAGAAAGCAGAGGCATTGAGCAACGTGTTCCGACTGGCACAGGCAGAAGACACTCCGGGCGAGGTATGGCACTTACTTGGTTCATTGCCTGCCCTCGCTCAGCCTCTCTGCTGCTCCAGTGCTGCATTGAGAAGGCAGAGGCGCTAAGGAATGTGTTCGCATTGGCACAAGCAGAGGATACCCCTGACGAGGTATGGCTTGGGCCTTTCCGCCGATCTCTCTACTTCACCTCTGCTTTCTCGGTCTGTTTGCTGCTCTCTCTGCTGCTCCAGTCGTACATTGAGAAAGCGGAGGCTCTGAGCTATGTGCTCAAAATGGCACGAGAAGAGGACACTCTTGGCGAGGTATGGCCTGTGTGGCACCTGTTTGTTTCACTGCTCCCTCTGCTTCTCTCTGCTGCTCCACTCGTACATCGAGAAAGCAGAGGCGCTGAGCAGCGTGTTCAATCTGGCACAAGCCTGGCAATCTGGCACAAGCTTGGCGAGGAATTGAGCGTGGCGTTTTCTCGGCTGTCCTTTCCTCTGCTACTCTGTTGCTCCCTCTGTTACTCTCTGTTGCTCCAATCGTACATTGAGAAAGCAGAGGTGCTGAGCAATGTGTTTCGACTGGCACATGCAGAGGAAACTCCTCCTGGCGAGGTATGGCACTTGGCTTTTTCTGCTGGCTCTGCTTCTGAGGCGCCTCAAAACTCCTGGCGAGGTATGGCACTTGGCTTTTTCTGCTGGCTCTGCTTCTGAGGCGCCTCAAAACTCCTGGCGAGGTATGGCACTTGGCTTTTTTCTGCTGGCTCTGCTTCTCAGTTTCTAGTGTGTAAGTAGACGTCTCTGTGTGAGACGTCTCAAAAGCCTCTAAGACTTCTCCTCTCCAGTGCCATGTGTAAGTAGACGTCTCTGTGTGAGACGTCTCAAAAGTCGTCTACTTACACACCTTTTTTCTGCTGGCTCTGCTTCTCAGTTTCTCCTTCTCCATCTCTTCCCGCCTTCGCCCCTCCCCTCTCTTCATTTCACCTTCGTTCTCCTACCAGCTAACAGAGGACCTGTTGTGTCGTATCGAGAATGCATCATGCTGAGCATTCTTCGCGATATTTCAGGCGCTTAAAAACCCTTCAACAGTTTCGAGACGGCTAAAAAAGTGCTGTCGGAGCACCAATTGTGTTGCATCATGCTCAGCATTTCCCATGTCTCCCATCTCTTCCCTCCTCCCTCTACCCCCCTCCTCCCCCCCCTCCCCCCTCCTCTCCTCTCTCCCACCAGCTGCCAGAGCACGTCTCCTGCCGCATCATGCTCGACATTCTCCGCGATCCCTGTGGCCCCCGCTTCCCTGTGGCCCCCGCTTCCCTGTGGCCCCCGCTTCCAGCCCTCATTTGTTTATGTCCCCCCTCTCCCCCTTCTCCCCTCGTTCTCGCCTTCCTCCTGCTCCGTTTTTCTCCTGCTACCAGAGCACCTATTGTGCTGCATCATGCTCGATATTCTCCGCGATCCCGTGATAGCCCAGCTTCAAGCTTCTTACCTGCCTCCTCCCCAGCTACCAGAGCACCTGTCGTGTCGCATCATGCTCGACATTCTCCGCGATCCAGTGATAACACCGAGCGGAGTGACGTACGAGAGATCGGCAATAGAGGAGCATCTCAAAGCGGTAAGAGTGTTACACCAATGTGCTGAATCATGAGCGGCATATGATTGATTACGTGATAACCAAGAGTGGAGTGACTTATGAGTGATCTGCAATAGAGGAGCATCTCAAAGCAGTAAGAGTGTTAGACCAATGGGCTGAAATATGAGTTGCATTTTATTGATTACGTGATAACCAAGAGTGGAATGACGTACGAGCGGAGTGATGTAATTACAATAAGGTGACGTGTGAGAGACGAGACCGTATCAATCTTGATCAAACTCGTTTGGTTTTACCCCCGTGTCGTTCCTGTGTCTTCCCGGAGTGTTTCTTATTTTGTTTCGATCTTTCTTTCTCTGTTCAGGGCAACTCGTTTGATCCAGTAACCCGGAGGCCTCTTTTATCTCAGCACCTCATTCCGAACCGGGGAGCAAGGGATGCTGCTGAACATTTCCTACACTCCCATGGATGGGCTTACCGGTCTTCAAAATAACAGAAAATGGTGTTAACAGAAAATGGTGTTGTCCAAGGACCCGAAAAATGCTTGGTCCAGAAAATGGTGTTAACAGAACAAAATGGTGTGCACTTCATTATTGGAATGAAGCTAGTGCAACTTGTTAGCTATTTATGATTACACATGCGCGACCTGGTACCAAGTTTGCCATGGGCTGCTTACTAACGGGTGCAAGCCCCGACATTTTATAACAGATGGTGTAAAGGGTTTCAAAACTTCTCGATGCGGTAACGTGGTGCATTCCAAGCAGGGTGTTTGTTTACATGCCGTCAGGACGTGGTACATGCCTCGCAAAACCGAACATCCCAGCGGAATTCGGTCGACGGAGCCGAACTGCCAGTGTCGTCGAGGGGGGTCGTCAAAGCCTGGGCTGACGGGGCGAAGCACTGACGCGCGTGCGGGCCCGCCAGCCTGGCCCAGGGCTGGGCCGAGCGCACGACCGCCGCCCCGCAGCCCCGCCCCGAATGTGAACAGCGGCCCACGTTACCGGGTGGGGTCGGCGAACTGGCGACACCTCGCGCGTGGGAAAATTACCCTCGCGCGAAGGCAGCCCACGCGCGCCACCTGCCCGCGAGGTCCTAGTAACCCATCGCGGCCTGCCCGGACGGGCAGGCGAGGGCCAGGCGAAAAGTCGGGGCCCCCTCGGGACACTCGACAACTTCGCGACCCGTTGCGGTGACGCCACGTGTTCGCCCGCCTACTTCGCATCGGGAAACATGCAGAATTTGATGCATTGCGAATTCAATTCGGGACATCGCGAATTCGATGTCGATCGCTTCGCGGCGCACGTTTTTCGCTTCGGGGCGTGACATCGACTTGCTGGCTCGGCGGCGAATGAGGACTTGTGCCACTTGTGCACGACCCCGCCAAACCCCGCCGAGGCAGGCACCACGAAGGCCGGGCGATGCCTCGACCGTTCCTGTGGGGCACCGACCCCCTTTTCTTGGTGGAAGGGGGCATAGCTCCTCATTTTCGGCATCTCGTTTCCCTTTCCACCTTTTCCCCAGCTCTGCGCCTTCTCCCACATTTCACGTCCCTTAGCCGCTTCCCTTCCCCGCCATGTCGGCCGCCCCGAAACTCGGCGAAGTGACGCCGACTTCGCAGGACTTCCCTCTGTATCTCGACCTGGGCAGTGGACTCACTGCCAAGCTCGACGAACACGACTACGCCGTCCTCGTAGACCATAGGCTAGAGTTCAACGCCCGTTGCTTGGGATTCGGCCTCAAGTGAGTGTCCGTATTGGGATGTCGACGTCGACCGCTGGATACCTTGCAGGTCGACGTCGATAGGGTTGTCCCACGTTAGGGTTTAGATCACTACTCGGTGACGCACACAGCCGTAGGTAGGCATCGTACTCCGATCACTACAGTAGGTCGGTGCCAGCATCGGTAGGCGCCATTGATTACAACGTAGCGACGGTGGTGCACCGTTCTACTCTAGCCATCCCCGTCAGTTGTCGGTTCCAGAACCCACGTGTCCATCCGTCGTGCCGTGCACGTCCTCAAACACATCTACTACCCATGCATGCGTGCAGGTACGCATGGATTCGCGCAGCGCCGCCCAACATGCGATTGTGGTCGATAGGACTCGGCCGGCTTCGGGCGGCGATGGGCAAGGAAGACCACTCATGCTTTGCAACGGTGTTCGACGCCGACGTAGCTGTTATCCCTCTGCATTCGAGGTGAGCCTAAGTCATGATGGTGTGCCATGATGCCTATGTCGCTGCTCCGTTCTGATCGACGTCGTGGTCCCTAGCCTGTGCAGCATCGCACCGCTTCCAGGGGCACATTGCAGCGTCGTGGTCATCCTGTACCCCGGCGACTTGTTGCGGGCCGGGGGAGAGACGATCAGGACCTCTGTCCGGCACTTCGACCCGCAAACCGTGAAGCAGTGGCACCGCGACGAGGCGATCCGCGTGCTGAAGTGAGCTCGATAGTGTAGTCGACGACGCATGCAATTTCGCCGCTGGGCGTTAAGCAAGTCTACTGACGATATGTGCCATGTTGCTTCAGGTTTTTCCGGGCGGCGGTGCTGGCCGAGCTCGGCCGCGATGGCCGGCACTGGGAGTGGCCGAAGCCTTCTGCTGAAGAGGTGGCGGCCAGGCTCGCCGACTTCAATGAACCCGTTCGAGATGTGAGTACCGATCGTTTTACCGTCCTAGCGCGATGCCATCGCCGCCATCGGTGCTCATCCTTGCTCTCTGCTCTGTTGTTTGCAGAAAATGCGCGACACCGTCCGGGACAGCGACGCAGGCTCTGGCCTCCTATCAATGAGCGCGCTGTGCTGGGTGGTGAAGAGGATGGATCGCCTGACCGGCGACGACCGTCGCAGTGCGACCAGCATGGACAAGGTCCTCGTTTCGGGGTTGAAGGAGCAGCGGATTCGGATGATGACATACATCAAGGAACACGTCGCACGCAGACGGTCAGGCCATGTCGGAGTTGGTGCCGATGCCTGTGACGACGACGCCGCGGAGCCCCCTTCGGCATCCCAAGCAGTCGGTGTCGCCGACACCAGCGGAGAGGCCGGAGACGGCGTCGACAAGGCAGATGAGGAGGCAGAAAGGGCTGTGGCGAGGACCGCGGATCAGGAAAAGGAGGAGGAGGAGGATGACACCGACGATCAGGATGATAACGAGGAGGATCATGAGGAGCGTGAGCAGGGGCATGGGCAGGAGGAGGAGGAGGAGGAGGAGGAGGAGGAGGAGGAGGAGGAGGAGGAGGATGAGGAGGAGGAGGAGGAGGAGGAGGAGGAGGAGGAGGAGGAGGAGGAGGATGAGGAGGAGGAGGAGGACAAGGAGGCGGCGGCGGCGGAGGCCGTGGAGCAGGGTTTCGGGTCGGTGGAGCATGTGGCGGAGGGGGAGAAGCAGCAAGAGGGGGAGGAGGAGGTAGAGTTCCCCTGGGTCGAATTCGAGATGGAGGATGTTGAGGGAGCGGCGGCGGTGGCCGTGGAGGGAGCGGCGGCGGCCGTGGAGGGAACGGGTGGGATGTCGGCGGATGTTGTGTACGTGCGAGGGGAGGGTGCCGATGCGGAGAATGTCGGCGTGGAGGAGGCGCACGTGGTCGGCAATGTGGTTGGCGACGCGAAGGAGGAGGATAACGTCGCGGCCCCGACGCCGACGGGTGTGGAGACCACCACAGGGAACGCAGGGGTGGAACGCCGGGGTGGAGCGGTAGAGGCGGGCCGTCAACCGGGTTCCTCAGCAGCTGGTCGGCAGGCAACGCCGGCCGTCGTCGCGCAGCTGCGACAGGAGAACATGTGGCTGAGGGCAGAAAATGCTCGTCTCGAGACGGCGCTCGGAGTGGAGAGGGGTCGGGTGGACAGGTTCGCGATGGGGATTGGCCACCTCGTGGACAAGCTCAGGTCGTTGGCCGACCAGGTCGCCGCCTCCGACCAGGACGCGTCGAGTCAGCTGATGGACGCGTCCTTGACCATGGCGACGACCGTGACGGAGAACATCACCGCCAACATGGGTGAAGCATGGGATGCGATGAAGGCGTACGCCGAGAGGGCGGAGAGCTGGTTGGACGATCTAGAGAATCCGGAGGGGTTTATGGCGGTGCAACGTGCGAACGCGGTCGTCGCCCTGGGCAACCACGTGGACGAAGCGAGGAAGGGATTGGAGGAATACATATCGAAGCACCTAGTCGCCGCGCAGACCAACATCGCCGCCGCGGTAACTCAACGCATCGCCGTCCCGCCGCCCACGCAGCCCGCCCCACCGCCAGCCTTCCCGGACGAGCTCATGAAGTCTTTCAAGGCGGACGTGTTGAAGGCGGTGACTGAGGCCACCCAGCAGTCGTTTGCTGCGTCCGGGTTAAACCTCATGACCCAGGTGATCGGCCATCTGGCGCCTGGTCGGCATGGGTCGTCGCCGTCGGACAACGAGGCCGACAAGAAGGGTGCGAAAAGGGCGGGCGGCGGAGATGATGCGTTGAGCTCGAAGCGGAGCAAGGGAGCCGATGGGAGCCGCGGCGTCGGCCAGGCGGGTCCAGGCGGCTCGCGGGGCAAGGGAGCCGATGGGAGCGGAGGTACGAGCGTGGTCGACCAGCTGAAGAAGAACGGGGCCAAGGTGATAAGGACGCACAGCAAGGGCGATGGAATCAGGAGTGCGGAGGGGGGCCCTGCCGACCAGGTTGCCGCTCAAGAGGCTGGACCAACAGCCCCGCCATTGGTCGCCGAGAAGCCGGCCAGTCTAGCGACCGCACCAACGGCGATAGATGGCGGCGCCAAAACCGTCAAGGGACCGTCCGTCGGAGTGGCGGGGACCACGTCGATCCCCCGCAAACCCCCTGCGGCTAGCAGCGCGCCGGTCGCCCCGTCAGCCGCCAACAACGATGGGCTGTCCCTTGCGGCTACTCCAGCACCAGCAGGCACGTCTGCCGCCAGGGTTAACGCGGTGGATGCTGCGGCTAACCGCGCTGGTCCGTCCGCCCCAAAGGCGAACGCGCTCAGGGAGATGCTCTGCCGCATGGAGACCCATCGACAAGACGTGCAGCAGCCTCCCGTGGTCGGTACCGCGCCGGCCACAACAGCACGTCGCTCGGTCACTCCCCAGGTCGCCGCCACAACGTCCAGTGCCCCACCTACCGCGCCTATCATCGCCGCCCGTCCTCCGGTGGACCCAAAGTCCGCGTTGCTTCGCGCCCGGTTAGGCGCACGTACTGCGGCTGCGCCAGCACGGGCTCAGCCGGTATCCAGCTTATGCGCGACGCCGACGTCGGTGACCGTAGCTGCACACACACTCGGTGCGGCTACTGTCGAGGCGGTGGCGGAGAAGGGCGTGAGTGCAGCGCTAGCCACGGACGGCAGATCAGTTGACCCTGCACAGGCGGCGAAGGACCACAACGACGCCGATATCGCTGCCATCCAGGACCTGTTGGAAGCGGTAAACCGCCCCAAGCAGCCCCCTGTGCTGGCCATCTTGGACTCGGCGAGTCCCACCGGTTGTACAGCGGAGCCAAAGACGACCACTGCTGCGGTCGGCGCGGGAAAGTCGAAACGGAAGGGGACGGTCGACGCAGGGAAAGCGAGGCCGAGCTCGAAGAAGAAAACACGGGCGACGTCGGCGATGGTGAAGTCGGTGGAGAAAGGACAGGGGATGGCGACGGCGATGGTGGAGAAGGAGGAGGAGGAGATCGAGGAGAAGAAGGAGAAGGAGGAGAAGGAGAAGGAGAAGGAGGAGGAGAAGGAGAAGGAGAAGGAGAAGGAGAAGGAGGAGGAGAAGGTGGAGGAGGCGGAGGTGGGGGAGGAGGAGAAGGAGAAGGAGGAGGAGAAGGAGGAGGAGGAGAAGGAGGAGGAGGAGAAGAAGCTGGAGGAGGAGGAGGCGGCGACGGAGGAGGAGAAGGTGAAGGTGAAAGAACGGAAGGGTCATGGCATCCGCCACGACACCACGGGCGACAAGCAAGGGTGGGTGGGCGAGATTAAGGTGGTCGGGAACGAGAGCAGATACATCGGCAAGTCCCGCGACAAGATGGAGCTGGCGTACCTTCACTCGATTGTGTACCTCCTGTACGACGGTTACGTCAGCAAGATCCTCATGGCCGAGCTCACCGGCTTGGAGGAAACAGTGATGAAGCAGTGGAGGGCGGTGTGGAAGGAAGTCCGGTTCTTGCCGACTGGGATGTGGACGGTGATATGGGCACGGGGCGCGTTCCTCCCAAAGACACGGTAAGTCGGATAAACGTCGGCCAAGCTATGATGTCGACGTCGGCGTTCCTAACGGCCAGTTTCGTGTGATTGCGTGACAGGTTCGATGATATCCTCGGGAAGTATCGAGCGTACAAGACATAAGGCGATGCGCACCACGATGCGCTTTTGCCCGCGATCTGGTTCCCCGTCGATGCCGACACGAAGGAAGGGAAGGAGAAGTCGGATGCAATGATGTCGGCCATGATTGATCGCGTGTCCATGTGCGCGGCGTATGGGATGGTCGCTGCATCCGCGGCGAGAATGGAGGGCGACACGGATCAGAAGACGGCGAAGGTCGCACAGGCGCTGTCGGCCTCCGCTTGCGCCCTGTGGTGCTTAGTCGATGGCGACGGCGCCCAGGTGGCTGATGCCGTCCGCGAAGGGAAGGCGGCGGCGATGTTGGTCGGCGCCAGCGAGACTACCGCCGCCGAGTTCAAGAAGGTCATGACGGTGGTGCTGGAGGCCGCGATCAGCAGGCAGCAACCCCTTGGGGAGGTTGCGCACAACGTCGCACCGGCGCTGGAGTCCACCGCTCTGGCCAAAGCCTATCCGGGGTTGGATGTTGAAGCCGAGGCCAAACTGATCGCACGAGCGACGGTGGAAACCCTCGCGTTCTGGGGAATGTGCCCCGTGGATGGGCCGAAACTCAGGAAGATCGGCATCGCGGTGCCGCTTGACGTGCAGATGGAGTACGACATCGAACACAGGGGGAGGAAGAGGCCGAGGGGCAAGCAGGGCAAGGACAGCTCGGGGAAGAAGGGGAAGAAGGGCAGAGCGGGCAAGGACAGCACGGCGGCGTAGTCGGCATAACAATCTGCCATGGGCGGCAGGAGGGAGCGCAAGTAGGTCTTCTTGCTAGGATGGCCTGGTATGGGCGGCGTCGATTATGTGGTTTTTTTGGGATTTTTTTTTCGTTTGATTGTATAGTTTTCGTGGGGATTTCTTTTGTTGGCTGTAACTTTTTGGTAGTGCATGTTACTAGAACACTCCTCGGCAAGGTCGACCTGATCTCTACCATGTTACTCAAATGCGGGCCCGGTTCGATGAACCCCGTCGGCGTATAGCAACTCGGCGTCGTACGGTGTCGACATAGTGCGTCTGGCTGTATGCATGTATATACTCGGCGATGAGCCTCGTCGGCTAGGCCGAGATGGTCAATGGTCGGCGCTTTGGGGAATGTGCCGCGCCGCCCAGGTGGCCGAAACTCTAGGAGGTCGGCATCGATGTGCCGTTTGACGCGCATATCGAGCGGGCATGGACAGCACGGATGCGTAGTCGGCGCGCGGAAAAGGGCGCTAGGTGGTATGATTGCTCGGTTATAGCGTGATCGGCGCCGTTTGCGCCGTTTGCATGCAGTCAGGGATGTCGCCATGAATAAGGCACAATGAATTGCACACACATGGTGGCGACTATGTCGGAGTCCGACATATCTGGTTCGGATGTATGTGTTGGATCATGTATGTTCGTGTTGCATCAAAATCAACAAGTACGATGGGAACACTACGGTTTGCTAAATTAGGGCATCATCAACCTACGCTAACACATATACACCGAGGATCTTCATGCCGACTTCTTGCGCTTTGACGGAGGACGCTGCGCAGGTGCGGTCTGCTTGGCCAAGTCGGCCACGGTCTTCGGCATCTGCTCCTCCTAGGCGTCTGGAAACAGGCGGTCGACCCACGTCGTCGGCTTCAGCTCGAGCGCCACCAGCGCACAGGCGACGCGTAGCTTCGAGACCACCTTGGGGCCAAGCCCCTTGACGCCCATGCCAGGCTCCTTGGACATCGTCGGTGCCGTCTCCGGGTTGAGCACCGTGAGGGCATCGCAGAAGGTCCCAATGCCCGGTGACGCGATCGTGTTCAGTGCATCGACCACGGCTTCGGTGTCGGCATCGCCGTCGCTCGCACGTAGCTGGCACACCGCATCCATGGCCTTCAGCATGCGGCGCACCCTCATGTTGAGTGCACCCTGGGTCGCGCCTTTGAGGAGGGTGTGGCGGTCGATGAACCCCGGCTCGGCGACCCTGTCGCAAAGACGACGGGTGTCATTGGCGGTGGCGGAGTTCCAGAGGCGCCAAGCGTCCCGCACGGTCTTTGAATCCCGCCAAGGTTGCACCACGTTGAGCTCGTAACTGGCCTCCTCTGCCGTCTGGGGGGGTGGCGGGGGTTTCCCATCATCTCTCTTGGCTCCGGTCCCCGTGTTGGCCGAATCCGCGGAGCCACCCTCGCCCGGAGTTTGATCGGTAGCCGACGGCGGCGCCGCCGGCATCCTCCGGGCTTCTGACACACGGAGTGCCTCGGTGAGTCGAGCAAGCTCGGAGGTGAGCGACGCGATGGTGTCGTTTTGCTTCTCGATCGTCTCCTGAAAGCCTAGCTTCTCGAGCGCCGAGCGCTCAACCTCCTTCTTCAGCGCCTCCTTGAGGGACATGTTGTGATACTGGGTGTCCATGCGCACGGATATTTCCTGCAATGTTGGGTGTGCGGAAAGGCGACAAGAGGTTAGAATTCACCGGCTAAAATTCAACGACGCCGACATGGTCGGCAACTCACCTCCGGTTGTATCTGAGTCGGGTCCCGGCGCTTTTTGATCGTATCGGTGTCGACCGACTCGACCCTTTTCGCCCAGTGCTGGAAGAGGGCAATCCTGCAGAGCTTGGAACCTTGGACGTACGGGTGCCACGGTGTGCGGACGAGCTTCACCGCGAGGTCCTCGGCGACGATTCGTCGGAACATCACGAGGGTGTGCAAGAAGTGCACTGCGGCTGCAGCGGCGTCGCTCCCGTTGAAGAGGGCAATCCTGCAGAGCGACGAAAGAAAGTCGGTGCCGGAGAGGGCAATCCTGCAGAGCGGCGAAAGAAAGTCGGTGCCGGAGAACTGACCGATCTGGTCGAGGATGAAGTGCAGCCACAGGCCGGTCTCGCCGACGGCGCACAGCTCCGCTTCCAGGTGTCGTGCAGCGTAGCTCTGCTGAAGACGGGCATCCTTGGAAGTCTTCGAGTTACGCGCGGCGATCACCATGACGACCGGCTGGCTATCCGGGTTCACCTCCGAGGTGCTCGCCAGGTGGTACAAGAAGATGTCGGGGAGCGTGATCTCGCGGATGCTGGCACCGCGCAGGAGAGTGTGGTGGGAGAGTAGCGTGAGCACCTTGATGAGCAGGAATCGCCACAGCGTCTGCGACGGAGTGGTAGCCCGCGGGTTCCACGCCGCCGCCGCCCATGTCGGCAGCACCCTCATCATGATCTGGCGGAACTGCTCGGCGGTGTAGGTATCGCCGATGGTGCCGCGTCGACGGTCGGCGCAGTTCCTGAACGCAAATCGGCGGGGAAAATCTGTTAGACTGCGTCGAGTTCACAGTGCACAGTGATATATAATAAGGTTGTCGACCAACTTACTTGAGGTCCCTCTCGTTCTTGTGGCGGACGTTGAACCGCACCTCCGATCTCACCACCGAGATCTCCCTCATGATGCCCAGCTCCTTCTCTCGGTACAGCGTCGCCTCCACCCTCGCCGCCATCTGGCATGCCTTTATGCGCCCGAGGATCGTGTGCACAGTTGTCGACCTCACAGGCCCTGTTTGCGTGGCATTGTTCTCCTCCCCGGGCTGGTCAACAATGAGGTTACACTCACGGCTCATTTGCTTCACGTAGGCGCGCAGCCGGGTTTCGGTGACCCTAGGGCCGTGCAGCCAGATGTACTGTCGGCGGACCACTTTCTCGTTGCACCAATCCTTTTTCTTGTTGTCGCGGATGTAGTGGCCGATCTCGTCGACGTGCCTAAGTCGTTGCTCATGGGGTAGCTTGTCGCGTATCTGCTTCAGCATCTTCGCCGCCCACTTCTTGTAGTGGTAGATGAACGCGGTGTACAGCCTGAGCGTGCTATTCTTCTCCAAGCATTGCAGGTGTCGTAGGGCGTCCATTATGAGCACGTCAATGCTGGAGTACACCATGTCGTCCACTACAAAGTCTGTCGCCTTCCACCCTTCGCGCGGCACCGCCATGTGCTGATTGTCCTCCTTCTCGTCCTCTTCGAGCATGTCACGTATGTATTCAAATTCCCGCCTAAGGCGTTCTTCCAAGGTGCGCGGATTCGTGCTACGCGGAGGACGGTCGTCGACTTCGTCGTCGCTCTCTTCCTCGTCCTCGTCGTCGTCATCACCTTGGTTTTCCGAGCCGGCCGGCACCGGCGAAGGTCCAGTCTGCCCATCTGCCGTCGGTGTCGACTTCTTCGTAAACTCCCCAATTGGCGGATTTGGTATGTCCTTGGTGTACTCCCCTTCGGGAATCTGAGTAAGTTTGTCAAGATCGTAAAGCAACTTCAGCGTCTCTACGGGGGCAGAGGACGGACTGTGGTCGGTTGGGGTACCAACGTCGGGCATGTCGACGTCGTCCATGACCGCTCGTATGCTCTACCGCCGGCCGTGGAAGAGGGAAAGATTGGTAAACCAGAGATGGTACTGATTCACGGGTGCGGTGTACGCCCTAATCGTCCTGCGGCGGTCTTCCTCGAATTCCCTCTCAAGTGCTTCTAACTCAGCGTCGACCTCGAGTCGTTCCAGTTGCGCTTTGATGTCGGCGTCTACCGAATCGGCGGGGGGTGGGATAAGTTGTTGTGGCTGTTGGGCACTAGCCCTTCCTCTGGCCATGCGTCGCCTGAGAAAGTTAGAACGAGAATGAAATGACTATGAATGAAGTGAGTACAAATAGGAAAATCTAGTTGGGTTGTACCCCCTATGGGATACCCCACTATAGCCTACACAAACAAGTAAGCTATAATATTCTGACACACCCCCATAGGCAAAGTGGGGGAGAACAAGGGGTCACAAGACCAGTCAAGCAAAACAAAGCAAAGCTCAGGGTGGATCACAAAGTCACCACACAGTCCGAACACAAGTTCAAGGGCCACAAGGCCAGTTCACATGCAAGACCATATATAGAGATATACAAGAGTCAAGCAAGCAAGAGCAAGAGTATATATATAGGTCGAGGTACAAGCAAGGTCAAGAAGTGAGCAAGTGAGGCAAGACAGGCACAAGACCCAACTGCGTGCAGCAACGCTGATGATCACAAGGCGCAAGTGCCTTGGTGAAGACATCAGCAGTGTTGGCCTCAGAGGCCACGTACGCAAGTCGCAACTGTCCACGCTGCTGTAGCTCACGAGCAAGAAATGGCGGAGAGCAATGTGCTTTGTCCTGTGCTCCAGTCGCTGCTCTCGACACAAGGCCAGCATGGCCTTGTTGTCTACGTACAGGACTGGAGGAGAACGAGGCGGCTCTCCAAGGTCGGTCAACAGGTAGGTGAGCCAGCGTAACTCCTGTGCAGCCATAGCCCCGGCGTAGATCTCAGCCTCACAACTGGAGCCGAGAACAGAAGACGAGCGGGTAGCCCGCCACGAAACAGAGCCGGAACCAAGGCTGAAGGTGTAACCCTGTGACGACCGCTGCGTAGCCTGGTCGTCAGCCCAAGAAGCGTCCGCGTGCCCAGTGAGGACCACTGGACTGCGCCCTCCAAGCACTAGCCCCATGCCCGACGTACTGCACAAGTAGCGCAACACCCTCTTCGCTGCAGCCATGTGCTCTGGTCGGTGTCTCCCAGGAGCAACATAGCGTGCAAGAATGCTAAGAGGGTATGCAAGGTCAGGTCGTGTGCAGGTCATCAGGTACATGAGGCAGCCAACAAGCTCTGCATACAGGCCACTCGACTCTACGGACTCATCCGAAGGCAGAGCTGAGAGCGAGTGGCGAGTAGGCAGAGGAGTGGCCTGAGGAGAGCAGTACGTGAAGCCGAAGCGCTGAAGGACCTGCTGCACCATGTGTGACTGAGTCAGGGTAATGGTGCGGCGTGCTCTGTCTCGGGTGATCTGCAAGCCAAGGTAGCTGCGCAGTTCACCCAGGTCAGTGCATGTGTGTCTCTTCTGCAGCTCGGACTTCACGTAGGCGAGTCCAGCAGTGTCAGCTGTGGCAAAGACCAAGTCGTCGACGTACACGAGGATGTAGAACGGCGGCAGAGAGGTGTCGATGCGCAGAAACAGCGACGGGTCGGCAGTAGAAGGAGCAAACCCAAGTGCCGCCAGCGTAGTCCTCAGTGTGTCGTGCCACTCACGTGGCGTCTGGCGGAGACCGTAGACTGGACGCCGGAGACTCCACTGGGTACCAGGAGGGAAAGACCCAGTGAAGCCAGGTGGGCGACGCAGCCAGATCTCCTCGTGCAGGCTGCCCTGCAAGAAAGCTGTGCTGAAGTCGAGAGAGTGCAGCTCGTAGTCACGGTGAGCAGCAACGTGCAGCAGTACCCAAAGAGTGGTCATCTTCGGGGTGGGGGAGAAGGTCTGAAAGTAGTCAACCCCCTGCCGCTGACTGAAGCCACGAGCCACGTAACGCGCCTTGAAGACAGGCGGAGAACCCGGCGTCCGCTTCACCCTGAAAATCCACATGCCACTGACGATGTTCGCCCCAGGAGGGGGAACAGCGTCGACGTAGGTGCCTGTGGACTTCCAGGAAGCCATCTCTGCATCCGTAGCTGCCTGCCACTGAGAGGAGTAGGGACCCTCTATCGCCTCCGCGTAAGAGCGCGGAGTCGGGATGTCTAGTGCATCCGGGTCTCCCTCAGGGGCTAGCAGTACAGACGCGAGATGAGGTGAAGCGGCGGCCAGACACTGGAACTCCTCCTGCCTTTCCTCAAGGACGTCCGTGCCAAGGGCACACTCACCCTTGACGGACGGAGGACAGGCAGACTCAGACTCAGCGACAAGACTAGCAGCGTAGTCTAGACGACAGCGTGCAGCAAAGTCGACGAGCTCAGTGACAAGGGCAGACGCAGCAGAAGACTCGAAAGAAGGGTCGGTGACAGCAGTAGCAAGGAGACGCGTGACAGTAGGACTGGCAGCGCGAACAGAGTCCGACTCCGGGTCGGCAAGAGCAGGAAGAGAGGAAGCAGGAGGAGAAGGCAAAGGGGCACGCAGAGGAGCAGTAGACAGACGCAGAGACATCCGGTGCGTGCCAGGGACAGGAGGAGGACGCTGACGCGAGCCGCGACCACTAGCGCGCAGAGTACGAACAGGCGACGCAGGACGAGACGCAGGCTCACGACGCTCAGTAAGACCTCCAGTCGGACCAGCGTAGGGAGAAGGAGCAGGCAAAGGGGAGGCAGGCTGTAGCTGTGACTGTGACGAGACAGGCTGTGGACCCTCTAAGGGAGGAGGAGGAGGACCAGGAGAAGGTGTAAGACCAAGAACCTGCTGCAGGAGCGGAACGAAGTACGGCCGGGGCCGCGCGGCGACGCCAGAAACAGCAGGGACAGCACCAGTACCCCCAGCAGGAGTACCCGCTCCAGCAGCACCTCCAGTAGCTCCAGAACCTCCAGCAGCACCACCAGGAGCACCGCCAGTCGGACCTCCAGCGGCAGTCTCAGCGTCAACACCCTCAGCAGCACCAGCTCCAGGAGAACCCTCAAACCCAGCAGCTCCAGCACCCACAGTACGAGCACCGCCGGGACGCTCGGCAGCAGTACCCTCTGCAGCCGAAGAACCTCCAGCACCAGCAGCACGCCTCCAGCGCCTGGCAAACCACTCACGTAGCTCCTGAGGGGAGAGTGGCTCTCGGCGAGACGAAGCACCTCCAGGCAGAGCACCCCCAGTCTCAGCACCACCAGGCTCAGCACCCCCAGGCTCAGCACCCTCAGGCTCAGCACCCCCAGGCTCAGCACCCCCAGGCACAGCACCCCCAGGCTCAGCACCTCCAGGCACAGCACCCCCAGGCTCAGCACCCCCAGGCTCAGCACCCCCAGGCACAGCACACCCAGGCTCAGCACCTCCAGACTCCGCACCCACAGGCTCAGCACCCGCAGGCGTAGCACCTCCAGTCTCAACACCCCCAGGCTCAGCTCCCGCAGCCGCACCAGAGTCACCAGTGACCTCGACAGGCTCGACCGCGTCTACCTGGGACACACCTGAAGGGGCAGGACCTTGAGGGGGGAGGGGGTCTACCGGGGGGGGACCTGGTACCAAGAAGAGCGGGGGCGGGGGGAGGGACAGAGTGCGGTAGGGGAAGAGGCGGTAGTGGGGTACCGACTCATCGAACGTGACGTCCTGGGAGGACAGAACACGTCGAGAGGTGGGGTGGTAGAACTGCCACCCAGGGGCGTCGGGGGGGAACCCCAGGAAGACGCAGGGAGCAGCGCGAGGGGACAGCTTGTCCGCAGACAAGTCGCGGACAAACGCCCGAGATCCCCAGACCCGGAACGCCGACGCATCGCCAACCTTCCCCGTCCACAGCAGCGCTGGGGAGGTCTCCGGCCTGGAGACCCTGGGGTGGAGGTTGATCTGATGCGCTGCGTACCTGACCGCAAACGGCCACAGAAAATGGGGGGCAGCCGCATGCATCATGGACGTACGAGCGACGTCCATGACCATGCCAATGCGGCGCTCTGCAATCCCATTCTGCTGCGGAGAGTCCGGAAGCGTGAAGGTCTTGCGGATGCCTCGCGCACGACAGTAGGCACGCAGAAGGCCAGAGGAGAACTCTCCGCCTCTGTCCGAGTGCAGACGCAGCACAGGAAAGTCCGAGCCAAAGCTCTGCCTGAGCTGGAGACGAGCTGCGCGGATCCAGCCGATCAGCACCTCAGTGACATCACCCTTGCTGCGCAAGGGGACGACTGTGGTGTAACGCGAGTAGTCGTCAACCACCAGCAGGAATTAGCGCTCGTGACCGAGTCCACGGACGCGGGCAGGGCCCCACACGTCCATGTGAAGCGTCTGCAACGGAGCCTCTGTCGGAGGAAACTGGGAGGAGTGAGGGGCAGCACGCTGGCGCCCCTCGACACAGGGGACACAGGCAGGGCCAGGGCCCTGAGGAAGGGGAGGAAGAGACCGGGGGAGACCAGACACAAGAAGACGGGAGGCCATGCCTCTGAGCCGAAGCAGAGAGGGGTGGCCAAGGCGGTGGTGCCAGAGGAGGGTCTCGTGTGACAGACGGCGACACGAACAGGGGGCAGACTCAGGACCAGA